TTGGTAATGCATTGGTAGTCATTTTTACATAGAAGCAGGTGCTTTAGTTGTTCAATATAGGATAGTGGTTTGCTATTTTTATTAAAAAACAAAAGCCACGGAATGAGGCAGAATGGGATAGAATGAGGCTGTGGCAAGGAATCTTCCTTTTTATTTCAAACTAATTTGCTCCATGCACACGGGAGCACTGGCAATTCCTATTTTATGTCTTTCTGAAAGAAATCAAAAGATCATTAAAGGAAGACCTGTGTGCCACTAATTAACACATATTTCATGGTCTGAGTATTAAACTGAATTCAGTACAGTTAACAAAACAAAATCTAGTATGTTGTGGCATACTTGTGAAAATATCACTTAGTCCTAATTTTGCTGTTGTCATCTTTTATTGCATGACTTTAGAAGAATTTGAGAGCTGCGTAAGGGAATAATGGTAGCTTGGTGACATTTTTTACAGGCTTCATTCAAAAGATCTTTCTGACCCATTAGGGTTACTTTTCCTGTGTCTTCTGTGCATATAAAGCTGTGCAGATAATGGTGGCCCTGAATGGATTGAGGATCCTTTGATGCCACTGTCTTGGGACATAATCTGTGCCAAAATGATGGGGCAAGCTTTTGAATTGCTTGGAAATTTTCTGATGAAATAGTCTTTTGCTGATACTTATCAGTATGGTGAAACTGAAATTTTTTTCAGATGTGGACCAATTTTTGCCAAAGTTCTGATAGAACATAAGCAGAACTGTTGCTTGTGGGCAGGTATTTGATTTGATTACTTTTCTGGTAACTCACCTACTTGGCAGGTTACTGTGGTGCTGAGGCTTCTGCTATGTGTTGCTCATTTGGATTTTCTGACAGCAGCCATAAGTAGTTTTCTTCATGCTACAATAAGCTAGAGCATTGACTTGGTTCTGTTGTGAAGAACTTGGAAATCACAATTTTTAAATTTCTAATGAGAATCGAAAGATTAAAATTGTCATATTAACAGCTTCTATCTACTTAATCCCTGTGTGTCATGCAAGTGGACCAGCCAAGGATCATTACTCTTTCCTCATGCAAAAGTTCATGGACTGTTGCTGAATTGCAGATACAAGTAGTGGTTTGCCAAGAGAAAACTGTAAGCAAATGTTATCTTTGCTTCTCTTCTTTTTTTAGTGTGTTTTGCCATTGATCTTTAGTCTGTCACCTTCTTACTCTATTTGCTTGCTACCATGTGCAGCAAATTTTGATATATTGAAAATTCTTGTGTTATATCAATATGCAGCTGATAATACAGGAAAATTCCTTTGGACTTACTTAACTTTTTGCAGTTGTTTCTTTTGTGAGTTCTTGTTTTCTTGTGTGACTTTACCTCATGGCAGGGAAACAACAGGCAGAGCGTATTAGAAAAAAGGCAATGAAAACTGAAGGCATACTTGTCCATAAAACATATTTGAATATACTCTTGATATATTTTTGTGAAAGTTGTTTTTAAAGTCAGAAAGAATATTACCTGGGAAAAGACAACAGAGTTTTAATGCAGAAGATGTTGCACTTTTATGTGTGAACTTGACACCTGTTATCTAAGCAATGGAAAAAAGTTTTCAAATATTCCAGATTGCTTAGTATTTTTAAAGGTATTATTGAATACTTGGATAAAGCTAGTCAGGAAATTGTTTTCTCATTCATATGTATTGGAAATACGTGAGTCTCTTGCTGTGCATTTTTTGTGACATTCTGTGCCATGTTTTGACTGAACAAACACTTCATAACCTCTTGTTGGTCTGTTAAATAGCATTGGCATTTGTGTACAATCTGAGGTTTTAAAAATATAATACTCTATTGCCTGTCAGAGTAGCCTGTGAATTGGGTTCCTTGAATCTAGTATACTTTTGTTTTTAAAGAGACCCACCAAAACAAACCTGCATATGCAAAGCATAGCGGACTCAGATAAGCAAGGATACCACATGTTGTATGCAGAATATGAATAATACTATTGTTATATTTTTAAAATTTTAAAGTTGTAGAAGCATAACAAGCCATGCTGGGTACATGTTACGGGGGAGTTTAGTTGTGATCCTCTTGTCTGTGTGTTCAAACTGAACTGTGAAGACTATAATTAAATATCAAGTATATATATAAAATATAAAAAAAAATGAACCAGCCCAAACAACTGCAAGTGGGAAAACTACTGACTTTTTTCTTAGTCTAAGTTTGTGTGCGGAGGTAAAAATTTTATTTTAGTGCTCTTGTAGCAAGACACATAATAATCTTTGGAACCTAGTGATGTTCTACCACTACTGACTAATATGAGACGTGTTAGCACTTTTTTGGATACTTTGCTACAACCTTAACCACCTACCCACCATTACTTGGGAAGGCTTTCATGATTGATGTTTGCAATGTTCATTCAAATTCCTTGAAAGAAGGATGTGTGTATAAGCAGATGGAAAGTGTGTACGTGGCTGTCATTTTCAGTTTATTGGCAGTAAACATTATGAGTTGTTGGGAGACAGTCTTCAAGACCTTACTTGTCAGTAGAAAATGCTTTTTAATCTTTCTTATTTCTCTAGTAAATGGAGTAGTTGATGACATAGGCACAAACACTAATTGTATTTATAGCAGTTCTGACAGCTTTCTGAAAAGTGACTGTTTCAGGTTGTAGAATCTCATCTGCATAACAAATTCTGTATTGTGTTCTTTGCAGACAGTGTCAACTTGGAGATGATGGACTAAATTATTTTGATGGGAGTTTCATTAGACTCTTAAGTTAATTTTTAAATTGGCATTTAAATCCTTGCAGCTGCCAGGAATGTATGCTGGTGTAGACTTGAATTAATCAGAGGGAAAGAGGAAATGGGAGACCTAGGCCATTGGCAAGATGGTGCACTGTGAGATTGGTACAGCAGTAATGGCCAGTCTTCGTGAACGAAGAACCGGGGAAGGTCTTTCCACCTTCCAGCCTGCGCATTGGATTTTTTAGGTGAGACACAGTGTGCACGGAACTGAGCCCACCCTTTAATCCTGAGGTTCATCTGCCGGGGCCAAGCACGCTTGGACAGTGGCAGCAAGGTCCTTGGGACGTAGATGGATTGCCTTACAGGGCTAACGAGCTCCATCTGCCCGGGGAGTGGCCCCGACCGGGAATCGAACCCGGGTCTCTGCAGTGACAGTGCAGTGTCTTTTCCCCTAGACTGAAAGGGCAAGTTGTGTCAGATGAGACTTACTCAGCCTGAAAGTATGTAAACTGAATAGTTTTATAAGACCTTAATGCAGATCCTGTGAATGAGTATTTCTGTAAATGTGTGCTGAAGAAAAAGTTGATTTTCTCTTAAAAAAAAAAAAAAAAAGGAGGGGAGAAAGATGTTACTATAACTAGCATGAACCTGTTCTGCTTGGAGATTTTCATCTCTGGGTTTCCATGCTTCTTGGGTAGAGCTATAAGCTGCTCTTTCATAAGCAAGCAATCATTTTTGTTTGTCATATGAAGAACAGACTTGATATCAGACTGCTTTATCAATTTTTTTGCATTTGAAATGCAAGCTGCAGTGTCACTGAGTTTATTCAAAATGTTGCGACCCTTATTCATGAGTGGGCTTGTGGAAAAACTATGTAGTTTTTACACAGGTAAATATTCATGCAGTTTTTCTCAAAGTAAGGAGCCTGAATTATGAATGTAAGGCAGTTTTGAGCATGGAACAGTACTTTTAAAATAGAAAATAACATAGAATACTCACAGTGCCTTTTGATCTGAAACCTTCATGGGCAGGTGGTGGTTCTCTCCTTCCTTTGAAGTTGGTGATTTCAGGTCAGTGTGTGTGGAATGTGTGCTCAGTAGGTCAGTGATAGGTGGTTCTGCCCCAAACAACCCTCCTGCTCTCCCTCTGGCACTTCAGCACAGGTCTGGAAAACTTGCATTGATTGTACAGGACTTTGGATCAGATCCTGGTGTGATCTGAAGCACCTGGAGGTGCATACAAAATACACAGCCATCCAAGAAAGGCAAAACTTCTTATCTCTTAAGTTAGTATTGCAAGGGGAGAAACGCTAATCATTGCCATTCACTCTGACTTCTGTGGGGAAAGAAGCTGAATTTACTGCTTATTGAGATGGGTTGGGTTTTTTGAGGTGACGGGGAGAGCGTGTGGTATTCATGGTAGACTCAGTAGACACAACACATAGTGCTGAGGAAGCTGAATGTCTTCACTCCTGTTCAGGAAAATACCTGTCTGAATAGTCATCAAACACAAAACTTGCAGAGCTCTCCCATTCTGAATTCTGCCTCCTTTGAACTTCCATTGTATTTCCCCCCCTTTATTCAGTTTTAAAAATTAATTTTTGCCTCTCTGTCAGGCCCTTTCCTGTGCAGGAGGTTTACAAAGAGAATTTTTCCTTTCTCACTGCTGCAGGAAGCTGCTGTTGTACTTAAGTGCTTTCAAATGGAGTTTCCTGCAACCACAGAAGTGTTGTGCAAAGAGACCAAGGGTGGGTGTGCCCTTGTCCTTCCGGCAATAAGACAGATGGTCTTAACTTCCACATGAATTGAAATGAGTGCTTGTTGACAGTTTTCGAACAGAATTAATTGTTCTGGATAAAGGGAGTGCTACTACGTGAAGTGAATGTACCATGTCTCTTTTTGTAATTACTTTTCCTTTTTCATTTCTATTTTCTTTGTGTAATGCCATCTACAGTTTTCTTAAACTGATGCTGTATGCACAGAAAAGAAAAAACATGGTGAGAGAAGAAAAAATTGGTAATTGCGTATAAAGTCAGGTTTCTGGTTTACAAAGCGCTTTCTTGCTAGAACTGAGAAGCAGTCTCAGAATCAAAAATGTATTTATAGATTGTTTTTTAACTGTGTATTTAAAAAAGCCTAAATTAAAAAAGTTCTTGTCAGACAGGAATTTGGACAAAGAAAGTAGAAATGGATCATTATCTGTGTCTTAACACAGATTTTAATTCTCCAGTAATGATGCATTTTGTATTGCTTACAGCCATTAACCTATGATATTCTGTTTTTATTGCAGATACATTATGTTCTTCCACTGCTTATGTGCCTACTTTGTCTGACTTTTTGTGGATTCCAGCAGTGAGTGGCTTGTGACATGCTTATTTAAAGGGCTTCATCACTCCCATGTTTAATACAGAGATTTCTCCAGTGATAAAAAGGTAATTAACTGTTGGGAATTTATCTAGAGTTTATATAATTTATATGGAATTTATATAGAGAACACACTCTTCTTTGAACCTTTGAAGGCTAATGGTCCTAGCCCTGAAGGTTTCCCTAAAACACCCCCCTACTGCCTCAAAAAAAATCCCAAACAAACACAAAAACCAAAACAAAAAAAAAACCACCTTAAATTGAAAAAATGTTCTGAATGGGGCAGTGAATGCTGAATATTATTAAACTGTGAGAGTTTTTTATCTCCTCCACAGTTCAGGGAATTTCTTCCATAAGTCATGGTTTTCAGTCTCCTTAATTAATTTCTTGCTGGTTGACTTACAAAGAACCAAATGAATTAGTGCAACCCAGGGTGCCTGGTAGAAATTACTGTTAGGTGCATTGGAGGTACAGACTGCAACAGAGTGTATGTAAACAGCCTGCATTGTAGATGCTGGTGATTGTGGATAGAGCAATATGGGGAAGGATTAATCTTATCGTGTAAAAACTGTGGCTTGAAATATCATCCAGATTAGGAATATTAAAATAATCCTGTTTGTTCATATCATCTGTTCATCAGTGCCAGAATCAGATCTTTTATACTTAGTATCTTTGATCTCCAAAACAAGATCTTTATATCCCTGATTCCGCTACCCATTTTTTTATATGGATAATTGGATAGGCCATTTTTCTTTTTCACTTCTTGATTATGTTAAACATCCACTTTAAGATGTGTGTGGACTTGGCAAACCTTTGTGATGCTCAGTAACTTTTCTACAAAAGACCCATTTTGGATATATTAAATCCTTTTTATTCAGTTGTGAGGATTAATTACATTTACATTTACATTCTTTACACAAACACAGAAATTCTTTTGAATTACAGTATGACAACAAATCTGTATACCCCAGAAAATGATACTCCAAGGTGTTCTGCAAACAGGTACATTAGTGTCTCCCAGAATGTTTAGTCTCAACTTGCTCAACTTTTACAATGGTCAGAAAACTAGGTTATATTTTAAATATTCTGGATTAACCACAGATAATTTTTTGACATGTTTAACGCTTCTGTTGTGCTAATACAGTGATTTCTAGATGGAGCAAAGCAGGGTAAACTGTGTTCAATTGGAGACTTGTCTGCTAAGAAATACATGTGAAAGCAGTTTTCTTTTGTTTTTCACACCACTGGTGAGTGGTGACCATGGTTTCAGTTACTTTGCACATGAGGCCCTGTCCATATTACTGATTCAGTTATAAGACAGAGGCCAAGCAAATGTGTTTTCTATTTTTCAGCAAATAAACTAATGTAGGCATATTTCTTGCTTTCACCTCTTTTGTCTGCACTTGGACATAAAAGACAAATTTGAAACTTGAAAATTATTTAATTTGAAGTGGTGATGCAATTGTATAAATAGTATCTCTTGAGATTTTTTCACGTAGTTACATAGAACCTTTGAAATTAGTGCAACAGAAAGAACTGAGCAGAGTATTCTGTTACAGTATTACTTTGCATTTTTTTACCACATTTTATTGATATTTCTCATTCTTAGGTGTGATTAAGCGAGGTTCCCTTTGTAGTTTATGGAGCTTTTTAACATAGAAACAAAGAGGGAATTATAAGGTTTTTTGGAAAGAAAAGTATGTTTGTAAATACGCAAACTTTTTGAAGAAGAGCTAGGCACAAACATGTCTGTTTAGTTCAGTTCTGAAATCAGCCAGGTTTTTAGTTAGGTGTACAAGCAATATTTCCATTCAGTGTCGGCTAGACATAATACTAAGGGACTAAGATGAAGGGATCTGTCAATTCAGGTGAAGGTTCGTATCAACAGAAGGTTAATATTGGGATATTTGAGGGAAACATCTCTAGTGTTTAAAGGAGAATTCCTCCAGAGATAAAAGCTGTGAATATTTTGTAAAAGCTAGTGGTAGATCACAATCATTACATCTTTCATATTCTTGACAGAAGTAGTGAGGAGTCTTTTAAATATTATGTTTTTGGAGATGTGGTGTTTATTTTCTTCTAAAAACTGAGAATTCTGTGGTGAATCAAGAGAGATACTCTTTTTTTTCCCTTAATTGAACACTTCCTTCTAACCTGTGCTACCTTTGGAGCTAAAAGCACAAATCTTCTCATTTAAGGGTGGCTGACTCTGTAAATGCAGCATAGGGAATCCGTATGTCCCCTAGATCCGGGCCTAAGGAATATTGTGAATCACATTTGCATCTAGACATTATGATTTATGTGTTTATGATACACTCTCACTTTTTGTTGCTTAGTTTGGGAAGTAAAATGCCACTTTTTTCTTTTGGTGAGGGTGTCTTTTTTCCTTTTTTCTTTTCCCCAGAATTACCATCACGGGAAAATAATTTCATCCTCTGTATATGCTCTATCACATAACTCATGAAGTTAATGTTTTTCTTTTTTAAGGTATTTAGCCTTTTTTCCCCTGCTGTTATAACTGTTGATTTCTGTAGCACATGCCATCTTTAGCCCACATGAATGTATAGTCATACACTCATCCTTTCCCATGTAATTGTAGTTAGGAGCAGAAAATAAAAAATGAAAAAAACCTCACCACTATGCTCCAAACAGCTCTTTTATGATAAAGCAACACAATTCAATATAAATAAAAGCTGTTGAAAATTGCATTTTAAGAATGTCACTCCCGTCTGCCTATGCAAAACAATAAATATATTTTTGAGTTAAATAGTAGCATTTCCAAGTTAAATATCTTTGTCAACTGCTCAATGTCTTTGTCAGTGACACAGGCACCCTTAGCAAGTTTGGGAAGGATGCCAAGCTGACTATTACAGCCGATGGGCTTTAGGGAAGATAACATCAAGAGGAACCTTGATAGGGTTGAGAAGAGGACCTGCAGGAACCTCATGAAGTCTAACAAGGCAAAGAGCACCTGGTCCTGCACCTGAGTCAGGGCAATCTCCAGTAACAGTGTAGGCTGGGGAAGGAATGGATTGAGAGCAGCCCTGTGGATAAGGATTTGGGGATCCTGATAGATGAAAAATGAGACATGAGCTGGCAATGTGCACTTGCAGCATAAAAAGAACCGTGGCCATCAGGTCAAGAGATGTGATAGTCCTCTTCTCTGCTCTTGTGAGACTGCACTAGGAGACCTGTTTTCAACTCTGGGGGTCCTAGCATAGGAAAGACATGGACCAGAATACAGTGAGTCCGGAGAAGGGCCACAAAAATGAGAGGGCTTACTCTTCCATGAGGAAAGGCTGAGAGAGTTGAGGTTGTTCAGCCCAAAGAGAAGGCCTCAGGGAGACCTTATTGTGGCCCAAGCCATTTTGTGATTCTAAAAATCTAAGAAATCAAGTTTTTATAATTGATGTCTTGTTTAGACCTAGTCTGTATTTTCAAAATATGAAACACAGAATTCCATATAGTAGTTACTTGGAATCAGTTTTAATAAAAGGAAACCTTATAGATTGTGATCAAAGTTTTTATGAAAAGCATGGATTATACTGATGAAATTGTGATGGAGTCACAGAAAAGCAAAGAGATTCTTCAACTGGCTTTTAGAATATGCTGTCCAATCTTTTTTTAAACTTTTTTTTTTCATTATCAAATATACTTGTGGTTATGTATTACATTATTAGTGTCCTCTTCTCTTTGATTACATTTAATGGAGAGAATTGTCAGCTTGAGTTCCTTAAAAATAGACTTAAATGATTATTCTGAAAGGAGGTGGTCTTGGAAGTCCCCCCATTCATAGGTAAAACTAAGTCTCCTTACTTAGATTCTCATCTCAGCATGTTTTTAGTGTTGGCTTACGAGTAAAACTCAGCTAAAAGATGCTATTCCTACCCTTCTCTTCATCAGTGCCAGCTAGCTGTTATGTCTTTTAAGTTCTTAGTGCAATCGTTGTGCTGGAACTGGGACTATAATGACTTGTACAGATATCATTAAAGGGTTTCTTTTCACTTTCAGGTTTAACTAGATTTTTTAATTGGGCAGATGAGCATACACTGTCTAAAATCCAGTGAGAGGTAATAATTCTCTAGTTGGACTCTGAGTTAATATTTTATTTTCTCCTATTATAATGTCTGTTACTCTTCATCTAGGGCTATATAGTAAATCAAAGAGAAACTTAGCTTTTAGTAATCCACTAATGTTTACTGAATATTTTACTTGTGTCAGAACAGTACTGTCATTAAAAGGAGTATTACAAATAAAACCAAGTACAGTTAGTCAAGAAGTACTTCTTACATTTCTTGTAGGCAAATGCTCTGAACAGAATCAAAACGAACTATGGCTTGTCTTACAATGACAAATATAGAAAGCACAGCAACTGCTGCTGTCCACCGGAATGGTGACATCCATGGGAATACCAGTGCACCCAGGCAGACAGAACCATTGCTTCAAGTGTACCTTTATCATTCTCCTGGGAAGACAGGAGAAGATTGCCTTCAATTTCCAGCTGGAGAATATGTTGCAGAAGAGCTTTGCACTGTTGCCTGTAAAGCCTGTGGTAAGTATATACATAATAGTTTACTTAATGAATTGGTGAAACTCAGCTTCATAGAAGAAGGTTTTTAACAATCCAGAGCTCATCAAAAGGTGGTATTTGAATCAGAAAGATAATTTCTCTGTTCTTTCAGAAGTAATTAGCACCAGGCTGTAAAACTGTTCCCATTAGAATAATTGTGAAACTGAATTATAATTGGGTGACTGCCATCTTTTATCAAATAATTCAAGGGTATACTATCCTTTACCTAGAAGTCTTCTCTCATTGGGCTGAGATATAGTTTGGATAGTTGAATCACTGCAGGAGCCTGGAAATGACTGTCTGATGCAACCCTGCAAAAAAAATTGGTCCTGGAAGTAATGCATATGTTGTATGTTATACATGCTTAATTACTTTGCAGATAGTAACTGTTCTGTTAGATATAACGTGACTTCTTGTGTTTGTAGTTAATGTTTTTTGTAATCATTTAGGAAATAAAGTGTGTAAATCGCAGCGTAGTGTATTTTAGCACCTCTTGTATATGGCATGTCATCATCATCATCATGGCTAGGCTTCGCGAACAAAGATTTGAGCATATGGCATGTATTGGCTAATATAAATATTAGTCTGTCAAAATGTTATTCTGTAATTGCATGCCAGTTTGATGTGTGCATGCAAGAGCTCAGCCTTTCAAAAAACATTTTATTTAAAAATCAATTTTTTAAAAAATGTAATAAATGTGAAACTTCTGTAGTTTTTTTTTCTACAGAAAACTGAACATAAAACTGAATATCATATTTTCCAAGCAGAAACATAAGTATAAATGAATTGTCTTGAAATTAATTTTAAATTGACTAGTCAGTTGTGGTCCAGTTCTTGTATGTTAGCTAGTATGTTAATTGCTATGTAAAAAATTATAAATGTCACATCAAAGCAAATAAAAGTCATTGCTCTCAGCCTGAGGAAAAAGTGGTATTAGAGGTAGAAATGAAATATGAAGGAGAAATTGTTCTAGAGGTTACTGAATCATTGTGTTAGATGTGTCTTCTAAATTCAGAATCAAAGACTTGTTTTCTTAGATCATGATCTTCAATTTTTTTTTTTCTGATCTCTCAAATATTCTTAAATGGAGTTTCTCTTTTCAGCTGTTTTTTCATGTCTTTACAATCAGTTTATAGAAATGTCAGGCAGTCAAGGCCATTTGAACAAAATTAGAAGTAATGATTCAAGAAAACCACCAGAGCTGGTGCAAGAGAGTGATAATGTGAACTTAGTGTGATACTTTACAAAATATCAGAAAAGCTGTAAACTTTGTTCGTAATTTTTCTTTTATTCAAAGTGTAAGTTATAAAAAAACCTAGAAATCTGTGTTTAAAAATTAGCATGTGTAATTGAAAATAACATGGATTGAATTTTGTTGTGTTGTAGGTAAATCAGATACAGGCTACTGGAAACATTTGAAGTTTGAATTTGAATTTTGTATGTATTTTTTTGTATATAGAAAGAAAGTTAGTTGATTTGTATATATCAGTATTTCTACAGTCAGACTTCCCAGTGTCTTTTAAGTGGATTTCAGAGTATTTATCATTAGATAAAGTAAAAAAAAAACCTAAATAGCTTCCAACTGTACACTATAACTTACCAGAATAATATATTATACAGAAGATGAGTATTATATGGAAAAATGATTTTGCTTTAATATTTAAACTAACATTTTGTTTGTTTATTCCATTGGCTGAAAAATATGAGTAAAAAATATGTGCATCACTTGTATGTATAATCCAGATTTTTACTGAATTTGGTTTAACAAAGTCTATATATTTTTATAAGACACTAGATAAGAGAGTCTGTAAATCACAGTTAAAACAGTTACAATTGCAAGCAAAGCATTTCTTTGGTATTAGCCAAATAAATTTATGCCATGTTCTTGAAAATCTTATTAGTAGCAGAGGTAGTCACTTTAAATCCCACGAGAACATTTGAACAGTTCACTGAAAAATGTTTTGAAAAAGTCAACCGAGGAGCATGGTTTTGTTTAGCATCTTGCATTTCTGTCATGGTTGTCCCTGGGTGTATAAGAATCCTAAATTTTTGTAGGATGTGTTTGACTTACTTACTGTTTGTCAGGCTTTTATTCTTGTATCCTCATCCCTCTCTGTTACGATCATTAAACTCTGGAATCTTACCTTTTTAATGGAAGTGGAATCCCAAGACAATGAGTTTTGCACCCATCTGATTTCCAAGTAAATTGGAAATTCCATGGTACTTTCCAAGAAAAATGGTGGTCTCTCTTGGAAAACCATAATATAGCAGAGAATTTAAATTATACCAAAGTAAAAACATTATTTCAAAACTTTAATTTGAGTGCTGACAGCGTTTGCAGTCAATTAAACATTTTCAAGAGAGTGACTGTGCTGCATAATGTGATGATTGTGATGACCTCTTTACTTGTATGCTTCAGAAGAGATACCTTACTACTAATAAGGGAATTTTACCCAGATTTTCCCTAACATGCTGAATTTCCAGAATTCACATGACTCAGAGTTCACATAGCTCAGGGTTATCATTCATTTAAATAATCATTGGGGGGTTGGTTTTTTGGTTGGGGTTTTTTGGTTTGGTTTGGTGTTTTTGTTTTGCTTCGGGGTTTGTCTTTTCCTTTCTTTCCCTTTTATTTAAATTTATTTTTTATTTGTTTATTATTTTTATTTAGTTTGGCTTTTTTTTTTTCCCCCACCTGGTAGTACTTCCCAAATATCCACACAGATTATGCTGCTCCCTGCAGCTCGCCACTGTAGGTGAGGAATGAATTAACCAGAACTTTGGGCAATTCTGTCTTGCTAGGAAAGGAAATGCGTACTTTGATTTACTATTCAGAAAGCGTTTAGTGTGGACAGCATATTAAATGTGACATTAAATGTGATGTCAGAGTTCAGTGAGCCTCTGGTTTGTATGAAAGATGAGAGGAAGATATTATTTTTGTGTAAGAAAAGGCAAGCAAATGTCCATCTGGTATGTGCAGAATTTCCCGAGTTTTAAAGAGTTTACTTCCAGTTGCGTGTGAAAACTGATTAATACTTGTATTAGACTTTGAAAATTTGAGATTTTTTCATCATTTTTAATCATTCAACTAATTGCTTTTATCTGTATATGTCTAATGACTTACATGCTTGAAATGACAGTTTCATAAAACAGTGTATCCCCTGTAGACTCTGCTTGGCTTTTACATTTTATAGTGGTGTCATGGCTTGTTGTGACTTACACTTCATGTTTTTTTATTTTTTCTTTGAAGAGGGCCGTTACTTGGAAAACTTACTGTATGGGAGAGACAGTGCCTAATGCCAGCAAAGGAGGAAGTATAGAAAAACTGTATTTCCTTAGCTGCTTCAGGGTAAATGAAGTAGTGTGACTTGTCTGGATGTGAAACTCTAAAATCATAATGAGGAAAAGATCAAACTACTATGCAAATAATTTTTTTTTGTAGGCTTGAAATAGAAGTTTGAGGAATGAACTTATACTGTTTTGTATAAGTTTTGTAGTCTTTCATGATGATGTGTTTGACAGACTGTAAAGTGTGTCAAGGCTTTAGCCTTACATACTAAAAAAATTGTCAAGAGATAGTTGCATTTTTGTCTTTGCAGTAGTCCAGAAAATTTGATAGCCCTTGCTGGAGAAGCAAAGTGGAAAAAATTCTGCTTAATTATGTCTGAGTCACTGTCTTCTCTCCTAATTTGCCATTGACTGAGTTGATAACATGGTTAGTGCAGTGCAGAAATCCAGGGGATGCTTTTCAGTACCTCTTAGGAATAGCTTTTATGATTTTACTTGGTAGAAAAATACATTTCTCAGAAGTTTTCACTGTTGTTGACATGTCTAGGTTTCAACAGAAGACTTTGATTCCCCGCTCAAGTCTTTTTGTTTTCATTGTTTCAGGAGAGAGCACTTATAAACTGCAGTTATTACTCACTTGAAAACTCCCTGCAATTACGTGGCCTCTTTGCTTTTGTCAGATTCTTGTGAATTATTTTCAAGACTCTAATAAAGGGATTTGCTCTGTTTTTTATAATTGTTGAGCATTAAGTGTAGCAATGAAATTGCATAGTTCTTAAGGGAAAGAGAAAAAAAGGTGTAACTCTTTTTCTTGAAAAACACGTATGATCTGTATACCTTAGAGCACTGGCAGTGTATGGTGCAAGGTACCATTCAGAACTATAAATGCCAAAGTATGAGAGATGGATGAGTGCAGTTTTCTTTTCATACAAAGGAGGACAGCAGGAAGGATTTTTGTTGTTGTTAATATTAACATTTCCTATTGGTAGGGGAGTATGAATATCATGATCCTTGCTTAGTTAATGTTTCAGAATGGATTTTGCTGTGAGTCTTTTTGAGAAGCGGAGTGGTAGTGGGGATGTCTGTAATGTATTTGGTGAGAAGCAGCAGCTTAACATTTGAGTTTAAGAATATGACTTGAAAATTTTTTCTCATATAATGTGCTTACAGGGCTTGTTAGCAGTTTGAGTATGTGTATTAGTTAGACTAGGTAAATACTCAGCATTTCCTTGAATGGTGTGTGGCGTTTGTGTAGAGTCCTGAAACAGGCTAGTAATTCTCACATGCATTGCACTGTAACTGATCTGAAATTATTCGGGATACAGACACCACACAGCCTTAAAACTACTAAGTTAATTGTTACTGCTTTATAGACAACTGATATGTAATGTAATGTAGTTGATCCCACTTCACACATCAAAAGAGAACCATACTAAGTTTTTAGAATAGGTTTCTTTTTAACTCATAACTCAGAATGATCAAATATGTTTTATTACACCTTAAATTTCCAACATTTGGATTTACAGTCAGTCCCTTCAGTTACTAATCCCTTTGAGTTTATTCCTGTGGGGGATTTGTTTAGTTTTGGTTTCTCTTTTGTTGATTTACATAGTGCTTTCCATTTCTGTAGTTTCCTGTAAGTCTATGACTCCTTTCCGTAGAAAATCATGTGTTAAGACCTGCAGTTCTGGTATGTTTTGGTGAGCTTTGGTTTAAGAAAGCATCAGATGATTAGCCTACAGATTTCTTCAGTTTAATCTTCACAACTGCATAATAGAATTCTTGTCTTAGCCTTTTTACTCTACCTTTATAGAGACAAACCTTATTTTGTACTAAATTTAATAAACTAGTTGTTATTTAAGAATTAAATATGTTTTATTCCACAAGGTTATGTGGTTTTATATGTGGAGTTGATTAGTTGTTTCATCTAACTGATTGTCTTACATGTAGTTTAGATGTGATGAAAGAAATCTGGGGTCTGCCCTCTTCAAAAATTACCTAGATGTTGTCCAGAGCAGAAAGAAGTAAAGGATTCCTTTTTTCTCCTGTTTTCTTGTGGGAATTTCAGTTATTTAATTCTAAATCTTCGGGCAGGACTGTGGGTACTTTGCCTTTTCCCATAATTCTTTTGTCTCCTAATGTCATTTTAAGTTACTTTTATTGGCTTTACCTGTCTTTCTTTTATTATTTTTTGCCTTTTCACCCCAAAGTGTATTGCTTTAATGGAAAGTTTTCTTTAGTTATGACCTGCTATGACTTTGACACTGTAATTTTTCATCCTACTCTCTGACCTCTACACTGTCTTCAAAATATGTTTGTCAGTGGTTGCAGTTCATCCTTTTGTGCTGTTAATTCTCTGGCATTTAGCCTGTTTTTCAAATCTAACGCTGGCATCACATGGATGCATAACACTGCAGCATAGTACAATGTTATGGCATCTGTTGTATGTTAGGCTGTGCTTTCAACTGGGAACCTCAGAGCCAAATTAAAATTCTGATACTGCTGAAACGCTAATATAGTACTCAACTGATTTCCATAGTTTGTGATTAAGTACTATTGCGTGCTGTTAAAAAATTCCTAAATTGTTGAGGGAAAAAATATTTTCCAGTTCTGTTTTATTAACAGTATATGTTTGGGTTTGTTTTTAACTGAGTTACTAAAATGTAAATGGCAGGTGGTTTTCCAGTCATGATGACTGTCTTTATATTGCTTTACTACTTGTTTTTCATCTGTCTAAAGTCTTAAAATCAGTCCCCTCCGAAATCAATCCCTCTGATTTTGGAGAAGGTAAGAAAAAGAAGTAATGTGCTGTTTCTAAACTGAGATACTAAGAAGACATTATATTAAATGCCATATAGAAAAAATCTTGTAATCTAACAGTGAAGTACAGGATATCAAGTGAACACAGTCTGCAGTCAGCGAACATAAAGGAAGAATGAGAATTAAACCATAAAAGCAGTCTGCAGGTTATGGGATAATGATTGCAATGCTGTTGGCAATATTGACACCTGTTGCTGACAGCAGTAGACCACTGTGCCAATCTGCTAATTTTAACCCACAATATTTTTCTAATACTTTGTGAAAACACTTTCCTGTAGATATTTGCTTCTCTGTTCTTCCTTTAGGTATCATGCCAGTGTACCATAACATGTTTGCACTCATGAGTGAAACAGACAGAATGTGGTATCCCCCAAATCACATCTTCCATGTAGATGAAGCGACTAGACTCAAGCTAATATACCGGATAAGGTAATCTAAATCAAATGTTATACAACTTTCATGGCCAAAGAAAACTATGTGACAAAACACAACCAATAAGATACTAAGTTGAACCATAGTTTCTCTTAGAAGATATGAACAGGTTGTTGGTGTTATCTGGAAAAGAGATAGATAAAAGAATCAAAATTATTGGAGTGGTTTGAATAATTTATTTTATCAAGTTTCTATATCCCATATATTTACCAATGTCAAATTGAAGAAGCAAACAGTAAAAAATATAGAAGTAAAAATACTATTTTTCTTAATAATGATATATCTCATCTCATCTCCTCTGTGCTTGTCTGTTTGACATTAGCGATGGTTCCAAAATGCAGAGTAATTACTCAGTGTAGTCAGTCATGTGTCTGCAATAGAACCATTTTTCCCAACCTCACATTTGAATGTAGACATCTAAAACAACAGTCCAAGTTTTCCTTCTGTAAAACATTTTGTTCATTTACATTATGTAATGTGACCTGAGTGTTTCTTTAGCAACTGTTTCAGAGGGAACTAGAAGACACTAACAAAACTCTCTGTATTCTGATGAGTGAGCATAACTTTGCCAAGGTCCTCATTCCTATCACTACAATTTATCACCCTGCCTAAATGTTGTAGTATTTTGACACCAAGAACTGGATCTGAAGCCTTCATTGGCTACCTGGGACTTCATAGTGGTCCTCCAAACTAGCCAGCACTAATTACATGTATATGAGAACTGTAATGTCTGAAGTTGGTAAGCAAAAGTATCCGTTCGTTGACATTTGCTAAATCTATTTCCTAACAGGTTTTATTTTCCCCACTGGTATTGCAGTGGCACCAACAGAGCATATCGGTATGGCATTATTCGTGGTGCAGAAAGCCCTGTTCTTGATGATCTCGTCATGTCTTATCTATTTGCACAGGTATGATTTGCTTGCTTATTTTTTAATAGAGATTGGCAAAGGTTATCAGTATTTATTCTCTTTCTGTCTTCTGATGGTAACTGTGTAGGCTCTTGACAGCTTGAAGCCCACTCAAGATGAAAATTAAATTCCATGTCCTATTGTATGTTTGGAGAGATGAAGCTCAAATGGCAATTTTAGGGGAAGCAGTGAGAGTGTGTAGGTTGAACTGACACAATGTAGAATATCCTCCCTATATCAACCTTTTTGAGATTTGAAACAAAAATATTTTGAAAACAGCGTTTGTAAGCGTGATGGCAGATGGTATTGCTTATGAACAAGTGCATCTTTTTGTGGATGAACGAGTTCAGAAGAATGCAGTCTTTAAAAGAAAAAAACAACAAAAATTCTGAACAACCCAAACCTAAACAATCAAACAAAAAAACAACAACAAAAAAACCCCCCAGCAACTGCAGCCCAAGTCCCTTTTATTGATAAGCAGCAGTGCTACAGTTTTAATTTGCTTTCTTGTGTTCTTTCTCAGTGGCGAGCTGATTTTTTGGATGGATGGGTACAGATGCCTGTTACTCACGAAACACAAGAAGAATGCCTTGGAATGGCTGTTCTAGATATGATGAGAGTGGCCAAAGAAAAGGACGAAACCCCACTGGCTATTTACAATTCAGTCAGGTAACTCCATAATTCATAACTCTTTCACACCTATCTGATATCTAAACCCAGTATTTTTGCACATTAATATCTGGGAGGAGATGTTCAGCTGCTGGCAATTGATGTATTCAGATGGGTACATAAATCTATCTATAATGTAAACTAGAAATTAATAGAACACTTGAATCATCATGGCTTTATGTTTTGGGGACATAGATTTGGCTCTCTTAATGAAAAGTAAGACGGAAAAGTACATAAACAATAATTTGAGGTAAAGTCTCACCCTTGTGGAAGTCATGAGATTCAACACCCTGTTCAGGGCCAGCTTCAAAGTTAGATGAAGTTACTCAGGCCCTCATCCAGTAAAGTTCAGAAAATGTCCAGATATTGGAGATTCCACTGTATCTCTGGGCAGCTTTATCCTGTGCATGACCACGCTCACGGAGGAAGATTTTTTTCTGTATCTAGTGAGCTTCCTTTGTGATACTGATAATCCTCTGTTGCCTCTTATCCTTTCACTGTGCATATCTGAGAAGTTTAATTCAGTCTTTTAGTAACTCTCTGTTGATTGAAGACAATTAGTAGAACACCATTCTTGACCTTCTTTTTCCCAGGCTTAGTAACTCAACCTCCCATACACCTCTTCTCTGATGTCATGTGCTCCAGGCTCTTAACTGTTTTGTGCAGATCTCTGCTGAATTTGCTTGAGTTTATCAAATTCACTTTGGTGTATCTACCTAATCAGTTTCTACTCTAGCTGAGTTAATTCTGTCCCTGCTTGGTACTTAATGCTTGATATTTGTGTTTTAATGAAACCTAGCAGGAAGAGATAAAAACAGAATGAGACAATGAAGTGGCCAGCTTGTTGCAGGTGATAACTTTTGCCTCTTGATGTAGACTATGGACTATGATATAGGAATTTCAGTGAGAACCAACCACAGTGTTGTACTCTGCCAAGAAATTTGTCCTTTATCCATATAGTTGCATCTACCTGTGCGGTATCCTCTTTCCAACTTCTACACCAAACCAAACAATGGTGTAACTTCAGCTGCCTTACCTCAAAACTTGAATAACAAAAGAACAGACATCTCTGAATTTATGGAAAATGCATTATGTAATATATGTTGCAACTGGAAAAGGGAAAAATGGAAGAAAACACAAGGCTCTATTTGAAAGAGCATACTATAGATTGAAGGACCCTTGTTATCCTACAGTTTAAAAAATAAGGGTACATTTAGAGGAAAAGATGTCATGTTGAATTCATGTTGACTTGTTTAGCACAGAACTAATGGTCTTTGCTGTATTTAATGGATAAAATTAGCAGTTCTTTTCTGATTATTTATTCACAGCTACAAAACATTTTTACCTAAATGTGTGCGAGCAAAAATCCAAGACTACCACATTTTGACACGAAAAAGAATAAGGTACAGGTTCCGCAAATTTATACAACAGTTTGGCCAATGTAAAGCTACTGCCAGAAACTTGAAACTTAAGTATCTTATAAATCTGGAAACCCTTCAGTCTGCCTTCTATTCAGAGGTTTTTGAAGTAAAAGAACCTGGTGGAGGTCCTTCGGGAGAGGAAAGTTTTGCAACCATTGTCATAACTGGAAATGGTGGAATTCAGTGTTCAAGAGGAAAACTTAAAGACTGTGAGACACTTGCGGAGGAGGTAATTTTTTAAAATTATTTTAATAACTGTGCAGTTTGTCATGTAACAGAGTAATTAGCTTATGTTAGAAGTTCTGATTTACCCCAAGTAAATTTGGTACTTCACAGTAATGATACAATTTCCATATGGCTGAGGATCACAGAAATATATAAACAGTACAGGATTCTAAAATTAGTTTTTTATTGAAATAATAGAAGAAAGTCATGTAATACTTCAGTGCTTGACATACGAGAAATTGTGCTCTACGTTCATTACTGTAGGAAATGTGGACAAGTAATGACCCTGCCTAAGGTATAAGTAAAATGCACAAATTCCTCAAATTCTATTTGAAAGCAGGGATTTAAGGACTCCAAACACCAGATAAATTTACCTGTACCTCTTTCCTGCTACAGTAGACTCCTACCAGTGTCTGAGTTAGCAAATTTGAAGTGACATTTGTGTGACTGCAGAATCCATCTAGTCTTTGTTCAGGAATTAAATGCTAAATGTTTCCTATAAGTGCTAGTAATCATGTACTGCTGCATTTTTATTTAACAATTTTTTAATTTTTTATTACTTCTTTTGTGTGTTATTTCCCATTGTGACTGTTCATTATGTTGAGTTTACCAAAACATGGTACAAACTTATAGCAGTATACACTGAGAGTGCAGGAATTTTCCAAAGGTAAAAGTAAAAGCAAAAGGGAGCACATGTGAGTTTTCCAAAATAACTGCATCTGTTTGTTACTTTTGATCCATGATATATAGCAGTCAAAACCAAACTACAAAAGGTTGTATTTTACCATGTGGTGTAATAATTTGTAAAGATGATATATGCTGGAGGTTTTTTCCAATAATTAACAAAAATAAATCTAACTATATACCCAGATTTTTTAAAATGTGGTGTTCTTAGAAAATTGTAGATGGACATTTGGCACTTGTTTATGTATCATTCCTCTTCCTTTCCTAATTTTCCTCCAGTTGTTTTGGCAGGAGCAATCATGAATGTCAGATTTTTGTAATTTCTGGTTTTAGTTGTACACAATTTATGCATACTATGCTGTTTAGGCCTGGCAACCAAGCCTTTAGTAAGAGTAGTGTTTAAATGGATCATCTTTCCTTTAGAGATTGCCAAATTATCTTTTCATAATTAAAAATATTATCATTCCATTATTGAGAGAGACTGCATATATTTTCACTGCTACAGAAACTACTTGTAAATTTGGTTATGAAAACCCAGTGAACCAGTATGGCTGCATGTAAATGTGATCATAACTCTTGTTTCAGCAAACTTTACTGGTGAACATTTATTAATGTTCATCATTGAAACAGAATTTTTATTTATTTGTATAGAATGACATATGTGGTGTAAATTGGGAAGAAATTTCTTTTGCAAGTTCAGATTTTCAACAACCAGATGAACAGATTAAACATCAGATACTTCAATACGTTTGAGATTATTTATATGTCTAATTGGGATAGTCTGATACGAATAAAATCTCTTTGCTTAGGAAGAATAATTTTGGATACATAAATCTAGCTTTATTTAAAGCTGTTACTTTGCACCTGAAGTTCTACTGAAAATAAAACAAAGTATGATTTTTTGTGACATTCTGAAAGTCTGATGATTGTGGTACAGAATATCATAGTATCAAAAAGTACCCGTAGTTGCTATCAAAAAAAAAGTGTCTTAGATTTTTGTTTAGTTAGGATTGGTTCTTCAAGTTACCTAGTGAGTGATGACCATGGCTATAGGACAACCTTCTCTTCATTCACACTAAATCCGTCTCTTTGCTAGCAGATTTTGTAGCTCTCAAAACAGTAATAAAAATGTTCCATTGTTAATCCTTGCAAAATTCTACAGAGGAAAGAAATGCCTACAACTGTAAAAAGCCAAACCTATATATGGGTATTTCTCTTCAAGGTTCCTGGATCTCTGTGCATTTTCTAAGTTATGTTCCTGGTTATGTTTCCCCATAAACACAAAACTCCTTTATTTATTTGTAATTGCATATTCAAGGTTTTATGATCCTCTTTGTTGCCAGCTTACAAGTTCAGAATTGTTGGAATTCCAGTGCTGCAAATAGATGAGGTTTTTTAATTGCCATTGATGTTATTACTGACGTTATATAACCAATATTTGTTGCAGGATTTACAAACGTACTGTGATTTTCCTGATATCATTGATGTCAGCATTAAACAAGCAAGCCAAGAAGGCTCCAGTGAGAGAAGAATTGTCACCATTCACAAGCAAGACAGCAAGAATCTGGTCTGTTTACTTTGATTGCTGTTCTTTCAAATAGATGTTGCTTTGAGTGGACCTATATGATTGTTGTATATTTAGTATTTTATAGCCAAATACTATGTTAATTAAGCATGAGGTAGAACTAAATGCATTTCAGCAGCATAAGTTGTGTATTGGAGCAGTAAAGGTCTTCTGCACTCAGAGCTCCGTGCATGGAAAGAGCTATTTATATCTGAGGAAAATTGCTGATTGATTCTTTTTTTATTAGAGTCTCAAACCTGTACTGTTGTTTAAATTCTCAAGTGTCCTGTTTCCATGGCATCATGCTAAGCTCTCTGCTAGAGACCAACACATTGAAAAAGGCATCAAATTTCTCTGAAGGAATGATGATAAACAAGTATTGGGACACAACTAAGGTCATTGCTTTTACTGTTTAAGAGTCTTTGAAGAAGATCTTAAGAGAGTATTTTACACATGAATGTAAAAGGGTTTTTGTCTGAATTCCAACGTTGCACTTGAGTCAGGCTTTCCAGCAGGTATAACTGTCACAGAGTTGTGTGGTCAACTGACCCTGGCTGGATGCCAGGTACCCACCAGCTCTAAAAGCTGTTCTAATCACTCCTCAGCTGTATAGGGGAGAGAAAATACAAAGAAAGGCTTATGGGTTGAGATGAGAACAGGGAGAGATCACTTGCTGATTACTGTCATGGGCAAAAAGGACTTGACTTAGGGAAATTAATTAAATTCATTTCCCATCAGTTCAGCTAGGGTAATGAGAATTAAACCCAAATCATATAAACACCTTCCCATCTCCCTTCATCCCAGGCTTAACTTCATTCTGGATTCTCTGCCTCCTCCCCTTCAGTGGCACAGGAAGCTGGGAATGTGAGTTGTGGTCAGTTCATCATGAGTTATCTTTACCACTCCTTCTTCCTCACACGCTTTCCCTGCTCCAGCACTGGATCTCTCCCATGGGGGGATAGTACTCCATGAACTTCTCCAATGTGAATCCTTTCCACAGGCTGCAGTTCTTCATGAACTGCTTCAGCGTGGGTCCCTTCTACGGGGTGCAATCCTCCAGGAACAAGCTGCTCCAACTCCATAGTGGCTCCATAGTGGCAACAAACAAGTTTCAGTGCAGGCATCCGTGGGGTCACTGTCTCCTTGAGGCACATCCACCTGCTCCAGCATGGTGTTCTGCATGGGCTGCAGGTGGATATCTGCTCCACAGTAGACCTCCATGGGCTGTAGAGGCACAGCCTGTCTCACCATTGTCTTCACCAGAGGCTGCAGTTGTTTCCAGGTCCTCTTAATAAGGAGTTTCAGTACTCCAAATTCTTGGCATGCACTCAAAAGCACCAGCTTTTTTTATTGCTGTCTAGCAAGGAACTTGCCAAAGAATTGTGTGCAGTGCTAAATGGGTCCCCATTGTCACAGGGAAACTTGTACAGCACGTACTAAAGCCTGCTCTGTTGGGCTGCACTATTTGCTAAATGAAATCTAGGGTGACTCAGAAAATGGCAGATGCTTCTCTATATTTCTTTATTTGCAGTAATAAATATGTTGTTACAGATGGATTCAATTTTGCCCTGCTCTTACCTGTTCAATATACTGTGAATAGACCTTTTCCACACCTGTTTTTCTTTGAGTGCATTATTTTTCTCCCTGCTTCCATCCAGTGTACCTGTCTTTCTTGTAGTCAGAGGTGAGCTTCTATCTATGATCCAGCTCGGGATGCCAGGCTTTGCTGACTAGTAGTTAGGTTTTCAGGCAGGTACTCTTCTGGGGATTTTTCTTTGCTACTTGAAGCAGTCATATATCTTTGGTAAGTGGAAGGCTTTCCTTTAGGAAGAAGAGTAACACTGTGTTGGCAATACAAGTATGTGTCTACCCAGCTGAGTTGTAGCTACTCAGTTTTTCCCTTTCAAATGTTCTCTCATGTCAGCATTCCTCTGCTGTTTCATATATTAAGAGCAAGGTATTTGGGTTTTTTTAATGGCAGATTTCATAGAATGATGGATGGTTTGAGTTAGAAGGGACTTTAAAGATCATCTAGTTCCAACGCTCCCACTATGGGCAAGGACACTTTTCAGTAGACCAGGTTGCTCAAAGCCCCTTCCAGGGATATGGCATCCACATCTTCTCTGTTTTGTTTGGTTTGTTTTTGATTTTAAACATTGAAGATTACTGTTGAGTTTTGAGTGACAACAAAAAGGTAGAACATACAAACAGCAGTTAAAAACTACTTTAATTCATGTCTTTAATACATGCATATGTGTGTATCTTTTATACTGCTAGCATATGCTAGGAATTTTCCATTGCCTACTAAAAATTTAAATTCTCTCTCTCCTCCCCTTCCACCATTGTTCTCTGGCAATTTAACAGGAGGCTGAATTTCAGTCATTAAGAGAAGCTCTCTCCTTTGTATCATTAATTGATGGATATTACAGATTAACTGCAGATGCCCATCATTATCTCTGTAAAGAAGTAGCACCACCATCAGTCCTGGAAAATATCCAAAGCAACTGTCATGGACCAATTTTGTAAGTAATTTTTTTAACAATTTAACAAGATGATATTTGAAAGATGAGCTTTTCTTGACTGTGAACTGTGGTGGACATCTTAAAATGTGCATTTATTGCATTTATGTAGCGTAAAATGCTTTTCCTCTTATTTTTCACTTTGTAAAATACATAAACAACCACTCTAAATATTGACAAAAAAAGGGCAAAAAGATTTACTTAAAGGAAGCTGTAAAAAATAGCAAGTTTGAATTGTTTTTACATTAGGTATCTGCTAATATTACTCATTAGTCAATCTCTGATATTCCTGTATTTTGAAATTATGCAATATTAAACATTTTCTTCTTACTATAGCATGGACTTTGCTATCAGTAAACTGAAGAAAGCGGGTAATCAGACTGGTTTCTACGTCCTTCGCTGCAGTCCTAAAGATTTTAAGAAATACTTCCTTACCTTTGCTATAGAGGTTTGTATTCTATCTTAAATAGTGCTTCTTTAATCTTTATTGTGGTATAATGATAAACGTGGGATGTTCAGTAAATGATTCTGAATTTTCCCTCCAGAATGTTTTTGTGATGTGTGTATTCTTAGCTACTTCTGTCAGACTGGCCAACTTTTCAGGGTCTTGTGAGCAACATCAAAGTGCTTGTTTGGTAAAGAATCGCTAATGGCACATACCATATGCCTAGGAGACCAAGACAGGAAGAGGGAAGACAGCTTGGGGATAGGATGGTGACGTGGGTCTTGGGACTGTAGTAAATATTTGGGAGGTGGAGCAGTTTGATGGGTTTATTTTATTTTTTTAAAGTTTGGATTTTTTTAGTTGGGTCTTTTTTCTCTAGGATTTCTGCAGATCTTCTCTCCCCTTCCAAATAGGATTTAGTTAGACAGAGCTGGTGATCCAAGAGTATCTCTCCTTCACAAGTTCTTCTGGGTTCAGGTCTTATCCCCATCCACAGTGCTGGACCAGCCATGTTATTTGGCAGCTGTTATGTCAACACAGGTCTTCTGAGGATGTCTGGTGTTAGTTAGAGAGAGAACTACCCTGGAAATGCATGCAGTTCTCACACAGGTGAAGAACCAGATGTACCCCTCCTGTGTGACATTGCAGTTAGTGATAAGACAATACCTTAATATTGCTGTTACATGATTGCGTGATCTTGTTCTGAGGGTGGACTTCTCTTTAATTACATTAACAGAGCTACCTTTGGGGTTTTAAGTAGGCAAGGTAGGACATGAGGTTTCCTGCTGGTGTGCAGCAAGCTAGCACATTTGCTAATACTGGCAGAATATGTACATCTCTGAAAATGAGAAAGTAATATTGATGTGTGAATGAAGAAGTAAACGTGAGTTTCACAGAAATGTTATGTCCAGTCAATGAATTGTTTGATAAGGAATTTTGTAGACCAAGAGATCAGTTCCTGAGCAAGCTTAGAGAGGCAAAGTGTGAGAGTCAAGCTTGTGAGTGAAGCCTACCATTGCCATTAAGTGACTTGGCCCCAATTTTTTTTCCCTTGTTCTAAGTCTTGTGCAAATCATTGGAAGGCTTTTGAGATTCAGAACTTTTTGGAACTTTTGCTGCAGTACTGAGATGAAGAACCAGGAATGCACTACTAAGAGCTCATCTTGTTTAAAAATGTTTAATGGTATCTTTTCAAGACTCATTGTAAAAATAATTCAGTGCATATTGAAAAATGCTAGTAACTGATTTCTTGGAACTGTCCTGTAGATGACAGAAAAACAGAACTATAGCTGAGATATCCAAATGCCTGCCAAAAGAACATGGAGCAGAACCATTTGGGCTATTGCTTCCAACAAAATTTTGTTTTGATATTACCCCATGTCAGAGTGAATAAGCTTTCATTATTAGCTCTGAAGGATTTTTCCTAGGATCCATTATCCGTTTTCTCAGCTCCGTCTTTGCAGCTTTCATTAACATTTGTTTTTCTGTATCATCAACATGCTAGTTCCAGTGATGGGAGCAGAGTAATATTTTCTCAGAATCGATATTACATAGTGAGAACAAAATAACAAATTATGGTCATATTTTGCTGGAGCATTCTTTCTTTAATTAGTAGAGTGATATACATTTAAATAGGCTTTCAAATATTAAATATTAATTTTATTTTTAATGGAAAAAAATCTCTGCAGCGTGACAATACCACAGATTACAAGCATTGCTTAATTACGAAGAATGAGAATGGAGAATATAATCTTAGTGGAACGAAGAGAACTTTTAGTAATCTTAAGGATCTCTTGACCTGTTACCAGACAGAAACTGTCCGTTCAGACAGCATAATTTTCCAGTTCGTCAAATGCTGTCCCCCAAAACCCAAAGGTAAGAGAAATATTATTTCTAAGCAGAAGGCTATCCAACTTCTTGATTAAAGATTTAGAAACAAGTTAAAATGACTCTCAGGTAGATACCTGTGTTTGTATGGGGTTTTTTGAATTTCACTGAGCTATTTATTCATCTTGTTAGTCATAGTGTTCAGTCCCAGTGCCTGCCAAATTTTATTTTGGTATAAGATGGTCTTCCAGAAGTAACCATGGTAGCCAATTTCATGATTAGAAGTAAAGACATTTTCTTAATTGAAGTGGATTGTGTGCAGCAGCATTTCTTCTTCAGTCAAGTGTTTTCGTGTCTTGAGAAGGAAAGAGCTACTTAAATGTATCATTTATCACTGAGGATGATTTCATAAGCCATGGAACCAACAATGTCAGTGAATTTCTGTCATTGTTGACATCTTAACTGAGTTATGCCAAAGCTGTGCTGTGATTTCAGCTTATTTTTAACACTGAGAAATACACAAGGACTAGAGCTCCTGCCTGAGGACTAGATTTTTCTTGAATTTATGTTAAATTTTCTAGACTATCTTTAATATTTCTAATATCTTTCTCCTTTATGAATTATGTTAACATCTGCTAAGTAGTAGTACTAAGTAGTACTGCTTAACAGTTAATATTGGTTAGTTTTAGACTCTGTCAAAATCCCTATTTAAAGAAAAACTTGTGACAAAAGACTATGTGATATCACCTTTGCCTCTCTCAAACTTGATTGAAAATACCTAATGGATTCAAAACCTTTGAAAATATTTAACAAGTAAATATGTATGCACATAATAGAGAGTAATTTTGTAGACTTATTCAATATGAAATAAAAAATGTGTATGCATCTGAATTATACGTTATTGAATAAATATAATCATGTGTGACCATATACTCACAAAGATGTATCTGTCAGCTTTAGTTTTAGTATCAGACCTGCTCTACTTTGTAATATAAAAGAAGGTGACTTACATCCCCTCTTCCATCTCTTGTTTTTATTACAAATACAGGAGTTAAAATGTGAAAGAAGATAGGAGATATTTTCAGAATGTCTGTCAAAAGTAGGAATACTTAAAAAGAATAAAGTGAGTGAACCTAGATGCTTTTGCTGATGGGAAAATATCAGACTTTGAATTAAATTAAATACTGCATGGCTTTTTGAATGAACTGATCACAATGTCATATCTTATTTGAGTTGAACTAGCTACACCTCATTAATCCTTCTCAAACTGTATTGGTTTAGTTTTATACTTTACAAATTTAGTGTGGTTTTCTTTTCCCTCTTTCTTCTCCCAGATAAATCAAATCTTCTAGTCTTCAGAAGCAATAGTGTTTCTGATGTACCTTCGTCACCTACGCTACAGAGACACAACAATGTCAATCAAATGGTCTTTCACAAAATCCGTAATGAGGATTTGATATTTGTAAGTCTGTTAGTTGCTTTTTCCGCTGCAGATATTGGGTTTAATACACACCAAGTTTTAATAACCTCTGTATGTGTTAAAAGAATCTTGTCTGAGCCAGGAGATTTTGCTATAATCTTTCCTTAGAGTTGTGGAAACAAAATATTTATTTTTATTTTCCATTAATGCAAATAATTACTTTTTCAAAATTAAGAAGCTCTTTTTTTGACTGCAATAGCAGTTGTTTGCTTCTAGAGCTATCTAAATGTTTAACATCAATTCCTTCCTCTCTGGTTCTTGCAGCAAGTTATTTTCTGCAATTTTTGAAGAATCAATAAAAAATAATCAAAGATTTAAGATGTTTCTGATATAGTTGCTTCCTTTTCCCATTAGTTTGACTCTACAGCCAGCACACCTCTAAATATTTACATATATGTTAATTAGGGATTTTTTTTAAGAGATCTTTTGCAAAACAGGCAGATATTTCTGGTTTTTTTCCTATCTGTATCCTTCCTTTCTTACAGGAGGAGAGTCTTGGACAGGGCACATTTACTAAGATTTTCAAAGGTGTAAGGAAAGAAGTGGGAGATTATGGCCAGCTCCATCAAACTGAAGTTCTTTTAAAGGTGCTGGATAAAGTGCATAGAAACTACTCTGAGGTTGGTGCGATTGTTTGTCCAGTGCTATTACTGCTATAACATTTTTCCAAAGCATTACTTTTCTTAAAATAAATGAGTATGTGTTATATAGTAGAGTGCTGTATTGTTTAACAAGCTCATTCTTGGACTTGTGACAAAGTGGGAGTATGCATTTGAGATTGACTTTGGGAAGTGCACTATGTATTTTATTTCCCCTCCACGCACCACCCATCAGAGAATTCAGAGCTTCCCACTGAGAATTGAAGAACAGATTATTTATAAGTACCATAGAAGAGCTAATATGGCCCCAGAATTGTCTTAACCAGTAAATTGCATACAGATGAGGGACCAGCATTTATGGTAAATCACTTCCTTTGGATGGACTGTTTTCAGTGTTTTGGAGTCAAACTGATTCTCCAGTGAAATCAACATTTTGGATCAAGTAATAAAAAATCAGAAGCATTTATGTATGAGAAACACTTGCCATGTATAAATTCACCCATAATCACTGAGGCTTTCCACTTTTTGAGTGAAGCTGTTAGCAAACCTGAAACACCTTTGTGCAAAAACTAATACACGGTAATGTAATTGAGCCAAATAGTTATTTTACAGATTTTCACAAGACGTAGTAGTGTTTATTATATTAATGTAACTTCATATGACTGTTTATTGCTTATTTAAATATTTAATTGATTCAAATTCCTAATTAATCTAGCTGTATTTACAGCAAGCCAGGAGAGCCAGTACACTGTTTCCTGAACTTTTCCATTACTTCAGACAAATCTGTATGAAAATGTGAGCAAAGAATGAAACATTTCAGATGGCTAATATTGATAAGCAGTGTAGGCATAACAATAAAGAAACCATAATCTTTTTATAATTTTAATAAGATGGCTAATATATTTACATTTTAAACTTGAGTGGAATCAGTAACTAAAAGCTCAGAGAGCATAGAAATAAAAATATTTCTGAAGGAAAAATGTGCTCATTTTGACCTTGCTTTGTTGGGTGAATAATCAGTACACAGGCAAGCGTAGTTGGAGATACCACTGAATAATAAAAAATTATTAAAGAAATAAAAGCATTTGAAACTTTCCTGACAAAGTTAGATAAGATCTTGCCGTAGCGGATGAATTATATAATGCTTGTTGTGTTTTAAGTTAATAGTATGCTATAAGGAAATAAATTGGAAACTGAATAGTGCATTATGACAGAATAAATTAGAAACTGATTAGTGTGTTGCGAACTTTACAAAGTTAACTGACACTGAAGAAAAGATTCTTTTTAAAATGTTGAGATACATCTGTCTGCAGAAAAAAAAGAGATTGCTAACCCATCTGGAATGTGGATTATAAGTTACTTAGGGAAAAAAAATTTAGGAAAAATGCCCCCAGGACGGAGAGAACTCAAAACAAAACAAAAAAAAACAAAACAAAATTTCCAGAAAACATAACAAACAATATAAAATATGTTACGTAGGGTCTTTGCAATGAGAAAGAAGTTGAAATGTTTTAAAAAATGCATATGGTTTTAATAAATTTATTAGCATTTTGGGTGCTTTGTTTTCACTGTTGTTTGTTTTTTCTCACTCTCTCACCTACCAAAAAGTCCTTCTTTGAGGCAGCAAGTATGATGAGCCAGCTTTCTTACAAACATCTGGTGTTAAATTATGGAGTCTGTGTATGTGGAGAAGAAAGTAAGTAGAAATTAATTGTCTTTTTGTAGTGATTTTATACATCTCTCATTAGAGTTTGAATAAAAAACACGGAAAAAACCAAAATTAAATGATTTAAGACACCAACTGGGCAGCCAATACATGTTTACATTGCAGTAATATTTGTCTTGGTGTCTCAGGACTAGTTAATATGGTGATAACAAAGAAAAGGTAAACATTGTCTTAAGTACAGTCAGTGTGAGTAGTAACCTCTATAAATGACTCAGTCTGAGGATCTCATGTGTGAAAAGTTTTGCTGAACCTCTGAAATGAGTTTTTGAAATTCCAGACAAATTTAACCCCCTATGTTGTATCAAGTGTGGTTAGCAAAAAAAGGGAAGTGCTTGGCTACACAAAAAAATCTTTGTTTACTGTGATCAGAAACTGCCACCCTTGTCCGCACATGTGCTGACTTAGTGAGCACATGTATACCTTTGGGAAGTTTGGTTTAGAGGTCCCATTCTGAAAACACGAGGTCCTGTTACTTCAACAAAAACTCTACAAAAATATTAACAGCAGTAAAATATTTTCTTTGTCTGCAGAAGTTGAATGTTTAGCATACTGCCTTATGACTATGTATTAATAAGGGGTTTGTATGCTATCTCCAAATATGCACTGCTGGGTCTCACTTTGGCAATATTTCCTTTCATGTAGTCTTTGGACAGAAATGTCAGTTTGCCTAAACCCTTCTTTTCCTGTGATTAGAAATTTGTACAGAAGAAAGTATTTTATAATAATTATATAATCATATTATGTAGATGGTTGCCTTCATTGGGGAGAAAGAATTTCCAAAAGAGAGAGTGGATTCTGTATCAGGAGTTACCTCTCTTAGGAGGCTAGAAAAGGTACAGCACTATGTTTGACCAAGTGAACTTGTGAAAGCTTTACAAAAACAACCCAAGGGGTTTTTTTCTATTTCTATAGTCCCTGTACACCGCACAGGGACTATATATAAAATTTCAGGTAGATCAAGTTTACAATTGACAATAATAATAATTATTATATATATATAGTTATTTATTTCACCTTTAGATCACGGTTGTCTTCTATAGATTGTTCTGTTTCTGAAGGCAACAAACTTACTACAATTTGATAAGAGCTAGTTACTAAGAAATAGGAAGAAGCAGCTGTTACTTGATTCTGTGGTTTATATGATGAACAGATGTGATGAAAATTGTTTCACGTAATTGCAAAAAAAAAAAAGAATATATTTACTATCTGTAAAATGAATTTGTTAAAAAATCAGTTTATCTATTACAGTAATTTCCAGTGTGTTTAGAGCCTAAATAAGAAACTAAATAAGAAATGCTCACTATTGCAATGTGAGCATCTTGACGCTGAGGGCAAGATTTCACTCCTGTAATTTGAAATTATTGGGTTGAAAGTGATGAAGACAACAGTACTATGAAATTGATCTTGTTTCTGGTGTTATTTGCTGGATGACTGCATGGAGACATATGTCATATATTTAGTACCAGTACTGGTCTATTTTTAAGAAGGGCATCTTTTGTCAGTAAAGCATTGTATCTATTACTAAGAATATGGATTGTAAGCAACAGAGAAGTGAATTACTTGAATGATATTTGACTCACTGCTGTATACTACTATGCTCTGTCAGTAGTAACATTATTTGTTGTGCCTTTCAAGTGAGGGTGGAATGATGCTCATTGTATTTTACCTAATTTGTAAAAGGGTATTAAGTCTAGTAATTTTGCATTTGAGACAAAATTACGTGAACTTCCACACACTGAAGAAGTATAAAGAACATCGAATATTTGTGGTAATACTCAGATGTCATATAGCTTCAAAGTTATAGTTAGATCACCAGCAAGTTATCAAAAAAGAGTGGTACTAGAGTCAAGAATCTGTCCTGAAATTTCATTAGTTTTTGTTGATTTTTTTAATTGCTACTTTTTTTGCTATTATAAATCAGACATCCTTGTACAAGAATATGTGAAATTTGGATCCTTGGACACATATTTGAAAAAGAACAAAAATATTATCAATATTTTGTGGAAGCTGGAAGTAGCTAAACAGTTGGCATTAGCCATGCATTTTCTGGTAAGTAGTTAAGTTTGTTAATTCAAGTGTTTCAGACTAATGCATGTAGAAAGGCTGAGCTATTAACCTGAATCTTGAAACTCTGAAGGGTATTTGAAATAGGATGGGCATACACTAGGTTTTTAGTGGGATAGGCAAGGGCAGATAAACTGTTTCATGACAGTGTTATTACTTACCCACTGGGAGGGGAAAACACTGTGCTGTTCACGCTGCAAATACATTCTTCTTGGGCATTAGGTCGCAACCTTACAATCTGTTTACTTCAACATAAAGGCCATTTATCCGATACAGGATATGTGACTAGGTGAGTCTTTCCTTTAGGAGAGTTTAAATGTTCTTACATTGATTTTAAATAGACTATACTGATGGATGAATATTCTAAGTTAACATACATCAGGTGGTTTTACACTTGAAACTTTAGGTAGACAATGAAAATTGACTGGAAACCATAACTTAGAGAGGAACTGATGAACTGTTTGAGGTTTGGTAAGACTTAATCTATGATCATTATTTTATTTGCTGATGTTTCCCTCATGCTGTGCAGTATTGGTTTTTAAATACCTCTTCAACCGTAAGACTTTTGTCAGTATGTAAAAGATACATTCCTGTTTATAGGAGGATAAAGGCCTTGTTCATGGGAATGTCTGTGCAAAAAACATCTTGCTTATCAGAGAGGAAGACAGGAAGTCTGGAAACCTTCCATTTATAAAACTAAGTGATCCTGGTATCAGTATTACAGTTTTGCCAAGAGACAGTAAGTCTTTGTGTCAGCTTTCTTGTTCAGTGCTTCTGATTTGAAAAATAAGTTTGGGGTTAGTTGTTTTTTTTCCTGACTGGCATCTAAGGTACTTCTGTTATAATAAGCTTCTTTATCTATCTGTCATTTTATAATAACCTCTGCAGTCCTAGCCAAGCAGTTTTGAGTGTATCTTCATCAGAAATAAACTACAGAAAACAAAGGCTTGTTCTCATTTTCTACTTTTCACTGGTAGTACTATTGGTATGCTACAATTGTAAATGTATCATATAGTCTGTTTCATTTGCACATAGCTGCTGAACTTAGTGTCGTGTAGTCAATCAAGCATTTTATAGTGTGGGGAAACTTTCAGAACCGAAATAAAACACACTTTGAAAGTGCTGAGTGGCAATTAAAAATCATCTTTAGTTCATTTCTTGGTGAATACCTGGAGCCAGTTGATGACTTTAAAAATACTGGGTTGTTATCCATCACTGAGACTGTTTCAACACTTTAGAAACTGCATAATTAATTAAAACCAAAGTGTGTGCAAGATTGTTATCCTAATGGAACTGAAGCAACCTTAGTATTCTTTTTGTGGTCTTTTTACTAATTTTGGAAAAATTAAAACACTTAATACTTAGCAATCTTACACATTCCTAAGGAAATAATGCATCTAAGGGCCTATAAGCAATGTGGTGCCTTCATTTTCCAATAAACTATTTAAATTCTCCCTGTTCTAAAGTGAATTCTACATTAATCTTATGCAGTCTCATTTTAAAGAGCTCTAAATTGACATCCATACAATCCCATACAATGTTTTAAATTGTTACTACAGTCAATATCAATAGTTTCATAATCAGATAGTATGAAATTGCTTTTCGTGGTGCTTTTTGCTGTGCCATAATGTGCCAACCACTAGCAAAGTAACTTTTACTCTTTGACATGTAGGTCCTTTGTGATAGCTACTAAGTCTTGGTAACACTGAGTGAAATACAGATATCAGAGAAAAAGTGTAATGTGGAAATGGCATTAAGGCAGTTTTGTACCATTAGACTTATTTTACAATAAAACTCATGATGCTTCACTCTGATTCTTATTTTTGTCCATACTCCATAACTTATTTTTTTAGGCGGGAACAAAAAATTGGAAAAGTATTAAAAGCATATTACAGAATGAAATACCTATGTATACAGAAGTGATTTTTACCAAATCAAAGATATGATGGAATTTTCTGGTTTTATTATTCATCTTAACATGTTTCTTTGGTGTGATTGCCCAGTTCTTCTTGAGAGAATACCATGGGTTCCTCCTGAATGTATTGAGAATCCCAAACAACTAAGCCTGGCCACAGATAAGTGGAGTTTTGGTACCACTTTGTGGGAAATCTGCAGTGGAGGAGACAAACCCCTGAGTGCACTGGATTCTTCAAGGGTAAGTATTACTTGATCTGTAGTCGTAACAGTTCTTTGACCACTTCTAATTTAAAACATCTGCTGTTGTAACTACATCAGCATATAGAGTGTTGTGGTACATGACCACTATAGGAAAAAGACGTTTTTGCTGCTAGATAATGATTTGAAGTTTAATTTTGTTATTTGTTTTGATTTTATGAGGGAAAAGTACAGTACTGTCAATTTTATCTTGTTCATATTTCTGTTGCTTTGTTGCAGCAGTGCATCACTTTAAAAGTATTCCTAAAAATGTTCATGGATCTTAATTGCCATTCTTCTAGGAACTGAACATCTTAAATACTGTAGGACTTTGTGTGTTGCAGGCAATTCTATTTTAGCTACACTAGAAATATTAACTTTATCTCAAGTAGGGGCAGGGGATGGAGGAGAAACATATTGCACAAAAATATAATTTCATATATATTCACTTCTGTAGTCGGAAGAAAAAAGAATACTTTCCTATGCTACAAAAAGATTTGTAGTATTATTTTTATAAATGGACTGTAACCTTCTCACAAAACCTGGTCTGATTTCTCAGGTATTGTAATCACTTCTTGCAATAAGCTCCGAGGGTTGCCTAGACCATCTAAGTGTTTAAAAAGTTGCCCTCCTTTCCTGTTGTCTACGTTCTTTCATAATACCCATGAAGCTCTTTACAACTGTGAGCTCAGCCAGATTCACAGGTCAATAGAATTCTCTGCTGGACCCATCCAGTTGTGGTTTTATGGAATTACCAATAACAGAGATGCTATTTTTCTCATCTCTCTTATCTTCAGTAACTGCCTGGAAATTTCTGAACTGATTGCTCTAAATTATGCCAACCTTTCTTTTGATGGAAAATGGTCAGATGTACATTCAGTGAGATAACACGTCTAGGTTGAGAGCTGTAATTTTTGGCTGCTCTGGTGGAATGTTAAGGCTTCTGTAACTCTTACTGGTTGTAAAATGTAAAATGACTTATCTATTTAATTCCAGAAACTACAGTTTTATGAAGATAGGCACCAGCTTCCTGCCCCCAACTGGACAGAACTTGCAAACCTTATAAACAACTGTATGGATTATGAGCCAGATTTCAGACCTTCTTTTAGGGCAATTATACGTGATCTGAACAGTTTGTTCACTCCAGGTGAGTCTGTGATACAGCAGGAACACACTAGACAAAAAGAACCCTGGTTCCGATTGGTTCACTTTCAGGTGGTGCCTTCCTTCTTGATACATTTTTGCAATACGTCTGTGTCTTTGACTGCAAATTACTCTACAGAAATTAAGGTGCTTGTTAATATTCTACAGACGTTAGAGGATGCCAAAGAAAGGTAGAACATGACATGATTGTAATAAGGTTCTTCCTTTTTTCGTTCATTACTCTATGGCTTTTGTTCACTTTCTTCTCTTCTGCCTCTCAGATTACGAGCTATTGACAGAAAGTGATATGTTGCCAAATATGAGAATTGGAGCACTTGGATTTTCTGGTGCTTTTGAAGATCGGGACCCAACACAATTTGAAGAAAGACATCTTAAGTTTTTACAGCAACTTGGCAAGGTAGACTGTTTAAAATTCTCTAATAGTCTAGGAAAATATGTTTTTCAGTTGTCTTTTGATGATCCCATATACACTATTTACATTGAAACTTCTGTTATAGAAATTATTAATTTCAGCTATATCTGAGCACCATGTGCAGTTCCTTTTTTGTCTTTTTTCACTTTCAAAATATCCTTATACTGTGAAAGTTACCTGGCCTCTACAATGAATCCAGTCATGTCAAAAGGCCAGCGTATTTTTCTGTAATGAAGAGCTGCCTCTGACATAATCTTTATACATATATATGCACACACACACTTGGTATTCATTTAACAATACTGTGGAGCATTCTTGCACAGCGCTAGTGGGATTGGGTTTTTTGTGCATGCATATTCTGAGAAATATGAATATACAGTCTTTGAATTTAATAATGTATTCAAGATATATGTAGGCCATGAACCTTTTGGACTTTGAGAAAGCAGCATTTGGTTACTACTTTTGGAAGTCATTGCAGTCTGTCTGTGTGAAAATGTGCCTACACAGATGACCAACTGCAGTTGGCAGATCTTCACCAAGAATCATTTTTCCAGAATGGTTTATTGATGGTATAAGATAACTGTGTATTCCTTTGGCTCCAAATACTAGTAGAAGCAAGTCTGAAAGCAAAGTAACAGAACGACTTCTATTTGCAGATGATTGATTGTTGGCTGTAAGTAGTAGCTTAACATGGGGAGGACAACAGAGCGATAAATGTTGACTGCATAAAAGAAGACAAAAACAATATAAACAGAGAAAGGAAAGAATGTAGAATCAGGAAAAGAGGGAAAATTAAGAACTGAGAGGAAGGGATTTATGCAAGAGCAGGAAAAGGAGTGTACCAGCTGACAGCTTGGAAGTGCAAGTAGAAATTTGTGAAGGGGGAGAAAATGGATGGACATCACACCCTCTTCTTGTCCTTATTTCCTGTGCATTCCTTTCCTGTTTGCTTCCTTTCACAGAATATGTTTCTTTTAGAACTGATAGCCCTGATTCCTACCCTGATTTCTTTCAGGGAAGTTTTGTGGCATTTCACTTAAATAATGAATTGTGGTCACTGAATCACAGTGAGCACTGCACAAACACTATAAATACTGTGCACTAAGAAACATCAAGAAAGAGAGAATGATGTGGACTTGTTTTTAATTCCCATGTATTTCCTTTTGTGATCTAGGGAAATTTTGGCAGCGTTGAGATGTGCCGGTATGACCCACTGCAGGACAATACTGGAGAGGTGGTAGCTGTGAAAAAGCTGCAACATAGCACAGAAGAGCACCTTAGGGACTTTGAAAGAGAAATTGAAATACTTAAATCTCTGCAGCATGATAACATCGTTAAATACAAAGGAGTATGCTACAGTGCAGGTATGTGCTTTATTGAGTACACTTTCAAGTGTACACCTAAGTATGCCTACTGAGAAATTCAGAGGGGTAAGTGTTTATGTCAGTCACTGCCTTGTCCTAGATTTAGCAGGACTAACAGAGTACAAAACAAAGTAACTAGTGTCTGTTATGTACTGCATCTCAGTACAAAGTGGACATTTTATTCAGTCAGCTTATTGCATAATTTCATTTATTTAGAGAAAGTACTTTTTTGACTATTTACATAGCTTTATGTAAAAGCATAAAGGACTTCCTAGAAAAGAATATAGGGTTTAAGTGGGAAAAATGTACCATTTTGTAACTATTATCGTTTTTTTCGCTCAGTGTAATATTCCAGAGTGGATATTACCAAGTTCTTGTACAGCCTGTCCAGTAAACTAGTGTATAGGAAAAATTTTCAAAAACAGATCTGTTTGAGTGAATTGGTGATGCCATTGAAGTTCATGAATGAAAGTGTGGGGGTTCTGCCTAGGATCTTACTGTAAAACAAAAATCTTAGGTTCAAAATCAGGCTAAGTTTTTAAAGATGGTAAAATTGGTGACAAGTTGATGTCATTTGCCATTGAGAACTGCATTTTGTCTCATCTTGACAACACACATTTATACATTTACACTTTGCTTTCACAATAGTAGATAAAGTATTGATAAGATGGTCTTGATTAGTGATATACTAGTATATCAAGCATTTCCTCATTGTTGTTAAGTTTAAATAAATGGCATTTCCCGAGCAAATACGGTTAAGTAATACATGAAAAATTGCATAGTGATGTACAAATCAGAATTTAATTTTTCAGTATTAAGACTATTTTCTATTAGTCCTATTGAAATTCTAAAATAATTAGATTTAAAAACTTGCCACTGGAAGATTACAAAAAAATTAAGTGCATTTTTTATTGTTGTTGTAAAAGGTCGTAGGAATCTAAGATTAATTATGGAATATTTACCATATGGAAGTTTACGAGATTATCTTCAGAAACATAAGGAGAGGCTGGACCACAAGAAGCTTTTGCTGTATGCATCTCAGATATGCAAGGTAGGAAATTTCAAATTATTTATGGTTTTCAACAAAGTTTTATCTTTTTGGTCTCATCCCATTTGTCTCAAAGTAACTATAATTGGTTGTTTTGGTGTAACTTCTTCAGTACTGTTGGGCTGCTAGCACCACATGACCTTAAAAAAATAGCAATATGAATTCATGTAGTCAAGAGCTGGAAAAAACTTCTGAGTATCTTAGTACAGGATCTGAGACTGGTCTATCTGCTAACTGAGGCAGAATATACTCCATTTATTTTTCTGTATTTTCTAGTTTACTAAGGTTGTATTTCAATCAGAATAATTAAAACCTCTCTTCTCCCTAATGAGACCTTAAATAAAATTTAGTAGGCATTAATATACTGACTCAGGCAATCTGTTTGGGACGTACTGTAACTGATTTTTCAGAACTTTGAGGTTCAAGTATAAGACCACTACAACAACTTGCATATGTTTTTAAAAAGTACTTTAAACTGTGAATAATATTAGATTATTAAGCACAAAGAGCAAAGATACATGATTTCTTTAAGAAGAACCAGAGGCCATAAAAATACCCAAAACTGTAGTAAATTACTTGTATTGAGCATAATTTGTAAAATTCTGCAAAGGGGGGAAAGCATCTGATATTTATTGTGATATCACATTTCCTTAGAAAGAGGGCTTATGTTTACCGTAGTTTTATTCTGTAATTATGCTTTAAATATAGGAAACTTTGGATTTCATTGAATATTCAGTAGTTTGGGGGAAAAAGGGGGTGAGGGAGAGAGACACAAAAATTAAAAAAAATATAACCACACCCCATAAGGGCATGTACCAGAATTATTTTTAAATTCCTTTTCCCAATACCACATCAAAGACATGGAAAGAGTAGGTTACATAAAACTTGTAAGTATTCTTTAGGATATGTAGCCCATAGATGTCTGGTAATAGTGCCCTGCCACACTCAGAGCAGAAGACTTTCCTTCTGCAATATCCACAGAAGAGGCCTGACAAAAATCAGGAGAGATTCTCTGCCAGAGCCGAGATCTTCTGCAGACACTCAGACTTTCACATGGGGAAAAAAGCTTGCTACTTCCCTGCTTGAAACTGGCTTAACTCATAAACTCTTTATCTGCCAGACCTGGTGCACATACAGAGGGTTGCATGCAATTTAGCAGCTTATCTCACCTATTCATGTGCTTCACTGAAGCACGGTGATGTAGGTAGTCTCCAGCAAAAACTCCCTGATGGGCAAGCCGTATGGAATGAGATGGGAAAACAGAAAATGTTAGCAAGCCTGTGGCAAGTGTCACAGAAAGAAGGATTGAATATGTGACCACCTACTCAGAAGGTTGAAGAGCCCTTTGATCTGTGTGTCCAAAACAAGTAGTCATTCTGCAGTAACAGGCCTAAGAAATTCTCTCAGAATTATTTCTGCAACAAAATAACTGTTACTCTGCTAAGTCACTGAAAACAATCTTTGTTGAAGCAGAACTGGAAGAGTCTTAATACTCAGCACCAACTCCAAGGACAGTGGCTGCATCTTTCATAGAATAAAGATGCAACAGGGACCTGAAGGTGCCTACCATGTGTACTCTCATAAGAAGCTATGGAGCATATGTAAGTCTTCAGGCCTTTATTCAAAGCCAGGAGGAACAATAGTGGCAACATAAGTCAGGACCCTGGTCCCTGAGACAGAGGTATCTGATGGGAAGACTGGAAGGTGGATTTTGGCCTTTGCAGGCTGTGCAAGTATGGCAGAAATCTTTGGGAAAGGAACTGTGTTCAGAAAGTATAAAGGAAAGGGGTAGCGATGTGTGTGTACATACACGTATATAAAAGAATCTTCAAAATATTACAGGTCTTCAGGATGGTGAGAAATCAAAATAGCAGATGAAATGGCTGCTTCCTAACTACCAAACACCACCACCACCCCCCACTACTACTACTACTACTACTACTTCTTCCTCTTTCTCTTCTTCCTCTTCCTCTTCTTTTAGCTCTTTAGCTCTTTTTCCTTCTCTTACAGTGTTTGCTCTTTCAGCATCTCACATCTCTTCTTTATGCTGTCCCTTTCTGTCGCTGTAATTCTTGGAGTTTTTTAACGAAAAACCTTTCCCCCTCTGCCCTGTTGCTCTCCTCTCAAGAGCATTAGAGAAATGAAGGCATGCCCATACCTTAGAGTTAAGATGAATGTGTTTGGTTGCTTACTGTGTTTTGGTTCCTTGCTACAACACTGGGAAAGGATTTTCCCATCTCTTAATGCTTGAAATCTTTCAGGTGTCCTTGCTAAAGAGCACAACTTTAAAGATAGAAACATCTGAAAACATATAATTAAATTCCATTGTTAGACTAGTGCCACAGGATTATGATTTTCACTTAGAATTTGCATGACTTCAATTAAGCACCTGTCTCAGAATCAATGTTTTCCAGGCTGACAGATAAATTACTATCATCAAACTTTAGGGCTGTTTCCTGCATAGTTCATACTAGGAAGAAAAAGCTGTAGCATCTGCATAGACTAGTTGTACCAGGAACATGGGAGTCTCAGTTTGAAGAAGCAAGGTTTGGTGTTTTTTCAGGCGGCAGTGAGTAAGTGGGCAGTGAAGAACGGGACATTTTTGATGGTTTTGTTCTTGGAATGCGCTGTTGAGAGGACGGTAATGCCACCTTGCGGTGCTGAGGGGTTATGGAGTCTGAGAGGAAGGTTACACTTCAGAGCCAAACTCTTTCTGAGGTTCCTCACATAAAAAAAAAAAAAAAAAGAGAGAGAAATAAGCCTTTTGGCATTAATAATATAACGCAGATGTTCAAAACTTTTGAGTTCACCAATGCTACTAGTGTAATTTATTACTTTCCTGTTGTGTTGAAGCAGTGATACGCTTTCTTAAGAAAATCTGAAACTGATACCTTGCGTTGTGATTCCTTTCACGTAGGAGTTGGGTATCTCATGACGTTGTGTGGCATCAATTTCTGCCCATCATTTATCACTGTCTAAGCAAGACCTTCTTGTTTTAGTAATGCCATTACACACTGGCTCCTTTCACATATTGTTGTTAGCAAAAATAATTAGGTGCATTGGTAAGAAGGGATCATCAGCAACAAAAAACAACATGGCTTTGGACCAATGTTCTGTTGCAGCAATCCATAGAAATATAACAATAAGCAGAACTCTGGTGGTGGATAATGGTCCATACAAAAGAGAAACAAGACTCATGGGTGGGAATACAGTCAGAGAATTGTTGTCAAATTCAAGGAATCATAAAGTTTCATGGAAGCAATCAGGAAAGCAGATGTACAAACTGAAGAAAAAAGAGTAAATGAAATGGGTAGGTAGGACAGTCTTCTCATGTGCTCTGGATTATGTAGCTTAGCCCAAGTTTTGTTTTCCTTCTGTATATCACCAGAAAACTGCATTTGGCCACAGAAAGGAGCTGTAACAGCTATCCATCTACAGTAAAAAATACTTGGTTCTGACAGGTGCTCAGTCTATGTCCCTCCAGTTAAGGGAGCCCCTGAGCTTGGAAAAAGTAACTTCTCAGGGAAAACAAATGTTCAAGCACACTCACTTTAATAATGATTGGGTTTTGGTTTTAACTTTGAGGTTAATTCATCCTCTTAGGGAAAGTGCAGCTATGTAATGGTTAAAAGTAACTCTTTTTCTATTGTGTTTGTGACCTCTACACCTAGGGCATGGAGTATCTGGGTACAAAAAGATACGTTCACCGGGATTTAGCAACGAGAAATATCTTGGTGGAGAATGAGAACAGAGTTAAAATCGGAGATTTTGGATTGACAAAAGTCTTGCCACAAGACAAAGAATACTACAAAGTGAAAGAACCTGGTGAAAGTCCTATATTTTGGTAAGTCTTCTTTTGGTATGTGAAATTATGGCATGTTTTTAGGTTTTGCCATTTCAGCCAATTGTTTTGCAAATTGTGGAATTTTTAAATGCAAACTTCACATCAGCATCCCAGCACTGTGAAAGTCGCATGGATGGTGTTTGACTTCACAGAACAGCATCTGGGAATTTTCAACATACTTAAAAAAAAACCAAAAACCATCCAAAACAAACTCCTAAAAAATACCAACATATTTAAAAGAAATAGTATCCAATGGGAAAGACATAAGGGAAATCTAAAAGGGTCCATTCTCCTGACCGCTTTCAAATTTTTGGACCTTTCAGTTCCCTAAACACTGGTCATTCGTCTTTAACTGAGACCTGTTGGATAGACCCTCTAGTGATCCTTAAGTGGAGTTAAGTCCCATAAACTGTAATTAGCAAGAATAAAGTGCTGAGATTTAATATTAAGGTGGATGTCTGTATTTTGGCATTGAGCTTCCAGAGAAGGTCTGAGTTACCCCAAATTACAGCAATGCTCCAACAAACTACACTTGGCTTAAACAGGAAGAGAACACTTTGTGTATCCTGTGGGAGACTGAATAATTATGAAATACAAGTTGGTAAACTGTATTTAGAATGCCAGACATATACTTAATCTCTATTCTGTGAAGACATAGAAATACCTTAGAAAATAAATTGATGGTTAGCTGTGATAAAAACCATTTTATGTTTTGATAACAAAAGCAAATGCCATTCTGTAAATATGATTTTAGTTATTTTTTAGTTCTGCCTTAGGCACTGTTTATCTAAAGGATCAATGATACAAAATGGTATCTTAGTAGATGTTTTGGAGGTGTACAGTGTAATTCCAGAATTACCTGGGACACAGTTCAAGGCTCACTAAAAGTGATAAAAGGCTATAATTGTCTTTCTTTCCAGGTCTTACCACATCAAAATCTTGTTTACTTGTACTACAGATAAGAAAAATATTTACAACTTTGTTGAAAAAAACATCAGACTTGGTTATAATTTTAAGGTGGATTTGGTTTTCAATACCAATTAACTATTATTAAAGGAATAGTTACTGTGTGAAGGTAATGGCAGGAAATGAGAACATGCTAGTATCTATGCTTAAAGAACATTGATTCATGAATAAAAAAGAAAATTTTGTTAAAACAAATGTTTTCAGAACGAACAGAGCAATTTTCCTTTTACCATGTGTTGCAGGTATGCTCCAGAATCTCTGACAGAAAGCAAATTTTCTGTGGCCTCAGATGTGTGGAGTTTTGGGGTGGTCTTATATGAACTCTTCACCTATATTGACAAAAGCAAAAGCCCACCAGCTGTAAGTATATAGTTAATAGTTCTCAGAGATTTTTCTTCATTTATTTAAGTTTCCTTGAATATATGGATTGTTCCTATACCTAAATAGGTTAATATTTACTGATCCTTTTCTGGAGATACTTTAGTGTTTATGAGGCATCCAGTGAGAAGCAATAACATGCTGAAAGGTGTTCATATCAAGCCATAAGTAGGAAAGGAGATCTGAAAATTACTTGACAGTCTGCAGATCTTATCCATCCTGTAACTTCTAGCTCTTTGATAAAGATTTTAAAATCTCTTATTATAGGTAGTTCTTTCCCATCCTTCATGGAGAGTTATCCCAGATGCAATCATTTCATTGCAAGATGACATGTATTTTTAGTGCTATTCCAAATTTAAGGCTGAGCTAAACAAATCCATATACGTTAAATTAATTTAAATAAGGTAACTTAAAGGTATTTTGTTTTGTTACCAGAACCCAAATAAGTAAGTTAGTGAAATTCATGAAGGAAAGGGAGTGGCTTTTTGCAGAGTGTTGACAGGCATTTTAAAGACTTGAAGTGAGTGGAGAAAAATACTACTAACTGTTCTCCAACTGGAAATAAGAGTCATGATCTAATATACACCAGCAGTTCTCTGCAGGCATAACAGAGGAGAGTAGAGCCTTTTATGTTTACTGGAGCTGACCTCACCCTTGGCCAGAATCTCAGTCCATCCTGACAAAAGTGGTTTTGAGAGCTGAATAGTGATGATAGGCAAAAATGCATTTGGAGAATCTCTGCATTGGCTCAGTGGACTTCTTAGTAATTTGATGCAATGAGCTATCAAAGGTACCATGGAAGAGCTCTCAAGACAAGGGCAGCTCTTCCAACATGATAACATAAATGTTGCAGACACCTAGAGTTCTTCTTCAGAAGGATTATGAAAGGAAAAGTGATGAAGTTAGTTATGGGTTCAGGGAGACTATGCTTGGAATGGATCATTTCTGTATGTGCATTCACCACTTCATCAGGTTGGTTATCCCATGGGTATGTATCAAGAAAAAGATAATTTGTTAAAATTAACCAAAGTGGTTTGTTTAACTCTTGGAGTCTTTATGAGAATACATTGTTTTCCTAACTTGGTCATTTGCACATTCAAACAATTGTTTGTTTGAATGTTTCACGCTCTCATGGCAAGGGTCATTAAGGAAATTTATGTCGTATTGGAGGAAAAATAATTCCTTTATATTGTTCTTAGAATTTATTTTCAGTGAATAGTACATCTTCCTTTACTTTAGATCTCTGGCAATCTCAGTGAGATTTTAATCTTCTTTTGGGTTATGTTGATGTTTTGGATAACAAGATTTAGCTAAGCCATTTTTGCAGGCTTTAATTATAGTAATTTTTCTGCCCAGTAGTTACTTATTAGTCCTGCCAACCTTTTTTTTTTTACATCAATATGATAATATCTGTTTTCTGGCATTTTTCAAAGCGTCAGAATCTTGTTCTAGTGTTTCAGGAAGCTCATTAGAATCAACTGTGAGCCTTATTCTTTTAAAACTAGTTAATCATAGAATCACAGAATGTTAAGGAATGGAAGAGACTTTAAAGACCATCTAGTCCCAACCCATCCTGCTGTGCAGGAACACTTCTCACTAGACTAGGCTGATCAAGGCCTTATCCAACCTGGCCTTGAACACTGCCAGGGTTGGGGCATCCACAGCTTCCCTGGGCAACCTGCTCCAGAATCTTAACAACCTCACAGTAAAGAATTTCTTCCTAATAACTAACCTAAACCTACCTTCTTTTAATTGTACCTGTTATTCCTTGTCCTGTCACTACAGTTTCTGATGAGGAGTCCCTCTCCAGCTTCCCTGTAGACCCCGTTCAGACACTGGAAGGTTGCTATGAGGTCTCTGAGAAGCCTTCTCTTCTCCAGGCTGAACAGCCCCAACTTTCTCAACCTGTCATAGGGGAGGTACTCCAGTCCTTTTATTTAACTTCATGGCCTCCTCTGGACTTGCTTTAAGAGTTACATGTCTTTCCTATACTGGGGACACCAGAACTGTACTCAGTACTGCAGGTGGGGTCTCACAAGAGCAGAGGGGCAGAATCACTTTCTTTGACCTCCTGGACATGCTCCTTTGGATGCAACCCATGATTTCGTTGGCTTTCTGGGCTGTGAGTGCACACTACCAACTCATGTTGAGTTTTTCATCAATTGTCACCCCCATGTCCTTCTCTGCAGAGCTGCTCTCAATCAGTTCTCTGTCCAACCTGTAAGTGTTGCCTGGGATTGCCACAACTCACATGTGGCACCTTGCACTTTGCTTTGTTGAGCTTCATGAGGTTCACATAGGCCCGCTTCTCAAGCCTGTGATGGCATCTCTGCCCTCCAGCATGTTGACCGCACCACACAGCTTGGTATCATCACCAATCTGCTGAGAGTGCACTCAGTCCCACTATCCATGTCGCCAACAAAGACACTGAACAGTATCAACCCAGTACCGACCCCTGAGGGACACCACTTGTCACTGGTCTCCACGTGGACAATGAGCCACTGGCCGTAACTCTTTGCCTGCCGTCATCCAGGCAGTTCTTTACCCACCAAGTGGGCCATCCATCAGATCTGCATCTCTCCAGTTCGGAGACAAGAGTGTCATGCGGGACAGTGTCAAACACTTTGCCTGTCCAGGTAGATAATGTCAGTTGCTGTGCTGCTTTGCCTGTCCAGGTAGATAATGTCAGTTGCTGTGCCGCTCTTCACCAATGCTGTAGCCCCGTCACAGAAGGTCACCAAATTTGTCAGGCGAAAATTTGTTGCCCTTGGTTAAGCCATGTTGGCTGTTACCAGCCACCTCCTTGTTTTCCTTGTGCCTTAGCAGTTTCCAGGAAAATCTGCTCCATGGTCTTCCCTGGCACATACATGACACTGACTGGTCTGCGGTTTGCTAGGTCTTCCACTTTCACATTTTTAAAAATTGGGTTTATATTACCCTTTTTCCAGTCATCGGAAACTTCACCTTAGCAATGTTGTCTGCTGGCTCCCTCATCAAGTCCGATGGACTTGCACACATTCAGGTCTTAGATGGTCTTGAACCTGATCATCTCCTCAGTGGGCTTAGAGTCTTCCTTTTCCCAGTCCCTGCATTTGCCTTTCTCAACTTGGATGGCGTGGCTCAAGCACTTACCTGTGAGGACTGAGGCATAGAAGTCATTGAGAACCTCAGCCTTCTCTTTGTCTGGGCTAGCCAGATCATCAGATGATGATCAACATTTTTAAAGTTTTTTCACTTATTCCTTTAAATTGTGTATGTATCATGCTATTTTATTCTATTCTATATTATTATTCTACATTAAAAAATTAAAATCTGTAGTTATTGATATGTTCTCTGGACTTATAATTTATAATTTTATCATTGTTGTATACTATTCTAGTTATTCTTATTATAAAGCAGTTTCCCTTGATAAGAATATTGCAGCATCTTTTTTCCTTTAAAGATTATATTTGACTGTTGACCATTTGTTTTCAGGAATTCATGCGCATGATTGGCAATGATAAACAAGGGCAGATGATTGTATTTCATTTGATAGAGCTTTTGAAGAATAATGGACGACTACCAAGACCAGATGGATGCCCTGATGAGGTGAAGTATTGTGTTAATATGTTACTATAGTCTGAAAGGTGCTCAGTTAGGTTCAGTGCCTGGTAAATGCAAGACTTATATTTCATTCTGCTTGGACTGCTAAAGTATTTATTCACGCAGAATGGCTGTGCTGTTGTTTTATGTGTTGCATGATGAGTATAATCATATTTCTTTTCTCCCTCAGGAGAATGTAGTCTTGCTAAATACATGAAGTGGAACTACTGTGACTGACTGCTGTACTTGGGCACTCAGGCTTCTATTCCAAAAAAGATAAATTTATTAAGGCAACAAGATTGGTGTATAGAACTTGTTCCATGTAAATCCATTATGAAGATTCTCATTCAAAGCTATGAATTATGGATTCTTCTGAAGTCTGTAACATTTAGTAGAAGCATCTTAACTTCCCAATGTTTTCCACATTTAATTCCAAAACTTAAAGAGCTCTTTATCGTAATTATTTCCATTCTTTCTTTTCCCTCCTCAAGCATAGGAATAGCCATGTTTATCGTGTATATTATTCAGTGTCAAGTATTTTCAGCAAAGAGCTGCCTGCAGACTGTAGACACAATTAAGTACACAAAACAGATTTTGTATGTTCAGGGTGTTTAGATTGGTATTTGTGTTCTTTGTAGATAGTGAAGTGAATGTGTAAAGCTGTCCTCAGAGCACACAAATTAATTCAGTGTTCTTTTGGTTTTGCTAATATCCCAGATGTTCTAAAAAATACTTTCATACTACTGCTAAGTCTTGTAGTTCTCTCTTCTTCAGTGCATGGTGCCCAGTCAGCTTCAGTCAAACTGGTAGGGCTGTGAAGGTGAATCAGTAGTGAAAAAAAGGAGGTAAAATAGCTATGTTTTTTAACGTGTAGCTTCTAGCTCAGGTTGATTGCTGCATCCCTTTAAAATCAAGTACTTGACAATAAATAGAGAAGTAATCCATTCAGAATGGTGACAGAGGAGATGTCAGGCTCAAGTGGTCTAACAGAGAGGAGAAAGGATGGTACAAGTGGGGCAGGGAAGCCACATGGGTAGAAGAAGTCCATACAGAGAATGAGAAGTCTCTGAAGTAACCTTTCTTGTATTTTATGTATGAGTACAACAACTGTTGAATTGCAAAGGTTTGGCTTTTTGTAGATAATCTGAATGTCATATGTGTAGGATATAGGCTGTTTCACTGAAATTGTATTTAAACTGACACAGAGGTTTCAATATCTGATGTTTCTCCAGATATCAAAGAAAGGTGGAAATGTCTCTCTGTCAGAAACTGTGCTTGTCCCATTTTGATTCTGAAAGGCCAGCCATCACAGATAATAAATCTTTCAGATATCTGTAGCTTACAGCAGCTTATCTTGTAGCTTACAAGCTTCTGAGACTTGGTGCTGAAGCAGCTTTTCAGTGCAGGTGTTTCAAATTTGCTGAAAAATAAGGAACAGTTTCTGGTTTTTTCTCCTGATGGCTGTACAGATTGTTCTTAAGCAATGTGTGAAAAATTGCTGAAAGTATGAGAAATTGGTAATAATGATCTAGATTGAAATAATGAGAAAAGTACAGGTGAAGAGCTTGACAAGTTGTATGAGACCAGGTATCAGGTACATGTTTGAGCAAAGAGAAAACTGTTGCCAAATAATTATTGTAGTGGAAATAACTTCCAAAAATAGTTTCAGTCTACTTCTACTAGAAGTGGGCTCAGTTTGCACAGTTACTTTTCTGGCTTATTTCTGATTATGCATGAAGGATAAGTAGGAATTTAATGTACAAACGTAGAGAAGTGTATGGTAACTTTGCAGGGAAGCTTAATTTAGAATTACTACCTTAGTTAATCCGATTTCTGATCAGACTTGTGTTTATCATGTTAAACACTTTTGAGCTTTTAAAAAAATAAGAGCAGGGAAGAAGATAAAAACATAGCAAAATAACCTAAGTCTCATAAAAGTTCCAAAAACTAACTGAGTGAATTTTACTAACATAAAAAAAAAAAAAAATCTTTTATAAAACGGCTTTCGCAGAGCCACCTATCCTCACTTCTTGCTGTCAGTGGGATCAAGCAGATAAATTGATTCATAAAGCAGGAGTTTAGGCACAGTCTTTTGCAGCTGTTGCTTGGAAGCATGAAGTTAAGTTGAATATTCTTTGGACCATTTCAGAGTATATATTAACTATGTCCACAGTGTGTTTACCTACTTCCAATTTTCTTTGTTTCTTCTCCAGATTTATGCTATCATGAAAGAATGCTGGAACAATAATGTTGCCCAGCGCCCCACCTTTAGGGATCTTGCTCAGCGAGTGGATCATATAAGGGAAAACATGGGTGGATGAGACAACTGCCCTTCCTTCAGAGGATGTGTTGGAATGCAGAACAAAATGTACTTGATCTGCTGTGTATAATTGACATATGTGCGCATCTTATCCTTGCTGGAAGTAAAATCTGTGTGGCAAATACCGTATTTCAGTCTGCATACTGAGGAATCCTGCTGGGCTTTTTTATCAGGATATACTCGTTACTATGAGAACATGCTGAAATTCTCAACAGGGAGAGAAATTATTTTTATAAGTAAAATAATATATGGTCATTCAACAACACCATTATTTGCCTTACCTGGCAATGCAAAAAAAAGGTGATTTATAGTGCGGTGAAATCAAGAGATGAAAAGACAATGTATTGCTTTGTTGAAATGGAGATGCAGAGAAAAGACTTCTAGAAATCCTTTCACACTGAGTACATAGTGACTTGGCACCCTGTTTTGTGTGTTGCACAAGGACTTTTGTTAATACAGTTTAATTGTTGATGCAGAAATGGCTTCTCTGTATAACAAAATAGAAGTGATTATGTAACCAGGAGCTTCTAATGTGCCTATCTGAATCAGTTATCAACCAGCAGTATGTCCAAAGAGGTATGAGGCTGTGTGCTGTACTGTAAGTATTTTAAGAGAAAGGGAACAAATTTTTCATAATTTGGAGAGCCAAAAAATGTACTCATCCACCTGAAAATTTTAATATAAAAATGAGAAAGAAAACATGTTATCTATTTTTCTTACTCTTCCTTTGTTGAGTAAGTATTAGATTCTCTTTACGGAATTGAAGATACAGTGATAACATGTAGAAATGAAGCCATTTTATACAAGGCAGTGTATTCAGTTTGAATAAGAAAAAGCTAAACCTACTGCTTTTAAATGCTGCTCTTTTATTCTTTCCATCTTTGTAATTTTCATGCAGTCATAGGTGTATCTACAAATTGGGAACTTTTAAAGCAGGATTAGAAATCTAGAAAATGCCCTCCACTTCACAATTCCTCACTTTGCTGTTAAGATGATCACCTTATACCTTCCTTCCAGTACAGAAAAAGAAAACTTATGGCCCAGTGTCTGATACAGCCAGTCACAACCACGTCAAGCCTCTTTTGTAATGAAGTGGCCCAAGTTACCTCCTATTTCTTTCTATTTCAACATAAGACTATTGGGAAGGAGGAATTACAAGTGCAATTGCTCCACAATCAGCGGAAGGCAAGAACATGATTTCAGTTACTGAGAACTGGAAGGAGATCAGAGCTACCTGAATTCTGTATAATTAAGATTTTGAAATAAGTCTAACAAAAATTTATGGACAAGACAGCGCTTCGGTTTTGCCTTCAGGCATGAAACTTGGGGATAATCTCATATCTCAAAGCAGTAAAATTGCAGTATTTTGTGTATTTTTAGTTCAAAAAAATTTGTTTGTTTGTTTTTTACTTAAGCATTATTGTTTGCAAAGTACAAACCTTGTTCTTCTTGGACTTCTGAGAGAAGTTCAGTTAAGGGGATATACAGCTTGGCAAACTGACGGACATCCAGATTTGTATTTAAAGTCAGGTGTTGATTTTTAAAATTTGTGGCAGTGAATCAGTTGTTTTTGAGTTATTTTAACTGGGGGCGTCCTTAAGATTTGTGGTTAGCTACATCCATCTTATCAGAAGTTTAAGAATCTCAACTTTTAAAAAGTTTTTATCCTTGATTAATGTAACATAGTGCCAGTATAGCAGTGTTTTGTACCACTATGATGTTTCTCTCCCACAATCACTCCTACAAAATTACAATTTTATAGTACGAGAGAGTGCTAAATAGGGAGAACATCATCGTCCCTCTTTCTGCTCACTGCATTTAAAAGTCTTTCTGTAGGTTTTCTTGCCACCAAGCACTTGCACAGATGATTTTTCAAACTAATTTCAGTCAGTTTTTAAGCTGCGAAGAACTTTGAAGTGCTTTGTTCAACCTAACGTGTTTTCTCAATTTCTATACGTTGCTTTGAAGATTTGAAATTTTGTGCAAAAAATGTATTTGCATTTGTAGTCTCAGTTGTGTGTTCATGTTTTTTGTAACAAAAGGAGATAAAGCTTTAAAGCATTGAAACAGCATTTTAGCTGGATAATATATGCAGGAAATATGTAAGATTTGCCGTGTACGACACTCAGTAGCTAACTGGTTTCCAATATGTAGTAGACTAAGCATAATTTATGTAAAAATCTCAGGGAAGTTTGTGTAATGCAATGAAGAAATCTTCCAGTCTGCTATTTTTTCAAGTGAATAAAAGGTCTTTTTCTTGTTCTACTACAGTATAACTGATTACATAGTCTATTTGATTGCATAAATGTAGTGTTGAACACCACAATCATTTTCAAGTGTCTTGTGGAATTTTATTTTTTTTTACTTTAATACTATGTCATTTTTAGAGAAAGCCATATCTTTACACTGCAGTATAGTTTTGTGCTGTTGGTCAGGAACGTATAGTCTTTTGTAATAGCCAGAGGCCTGTGCAGAGGGCTTGATCAGTTGTGATGAGTGTTCTTAGCTGGATGAATAGGACCAAGTAGTGCTTAGGATTCTAGGGGGATGTATGGTCATCTGCAGTGTTGATATTGAGGTCCCAGAGCAGACCCAATGGTTTTCTCAAAAAGCTGTTGAGGATGTAAATGCAGTGATTTTGCTGAATTTGCTACTGCCAATGGTGTAACTTTTTTTTTTTTTTGAAAGAACAACCAAACAATAAAGCCAAACAAAAAACACTGAATTTTGAAAGCTCTCAGATCTACAGTAGCATTGCTAATGTCATATTTTATATAGCCTTTGTATTAACAGCGTAAGTTCTTTGTTTTAGAAACTTTACTCAGTTGGCATTGCATTTGTCATACTTTAGTGTAATCATTACACTACCCAAAATGCGAATGGGTGGGCTTTGGGGTTGTTGTTGTTGTCTTGGATTTTATTTGTTTTGGTTTTTTGTTTTTGTAGAAAGTGCTGGTTTATGTATACATGACTGCTACTACAGTGTAGAATTAAAATATTAACTATTGCTTTGCACTTACATTTGAAGTGAAAGAATTTTTTTGTAAGTGCACAATATATCTTATAGAATCTCTGCAATCACGTATTGTATAGTATAATATTCGTTTGTTGTCTATCAGTATAAGTATGTTAAGTTTCAAAATTATTTTAAAAATATATTCCACACAATATTCCACAAACTTGCAACAGTCATGTAGTAAGCCAGAGGAGGAATGAATTTTCAGAAAACCCACATTCTTGTCAAGTCCTGGTATTGGTTAAAAGCTTCCATAGTTGAGATAATTGTTCTTAAATGTACAGGTGAATTTAACTGTAAAAATGTATGTAAAAACTGTGTTTTTTCCCAAAATTAAGTTTTTAATTGTTGCATTTAGTTGAGATGTTGCCTTGAAATGTATGGGGAAAGATGTTACTTTATGAAGTATGAAGAAATGTGACTCTTGCGTAAAGAAAGCAAACTTTTCAGGAATGTAGGATCACAAACACCCAGAGGATAGAGTTCTGAGAGCAAAAGTAGAGGTGTAGAAGATCAAGAAGACTAAAGGAAAATGGCTGAAGTTCAGCACTGAAGAAGTTTTCTGAAATGTGAAATGCACAATGAATTATGAAAAAATGATGTCTATTGAAAATGCTCTACCATGACAAACGTGTGCTAGTGTATTTCTAAACTGCATATTGTCTGCCTTAAGTCTAAAATACTCACAGAGACCTAACTTGACTGAAAAAAATTACAAGAATTACTATACCAAAAGAAACTGCTTAATGTTGTGCCATGCCAGACAACAATTTTGAAAAGATGTTTGGTTAAGAAGTTTTCTTCTGAATTTTTCTTTTTGAATAAGAGGTTTACAGTACTTTATATTAAAGTAGAAAAAGTCCCTTGGTGGTGGGGAAGTGGGGGGAGGGAAGGCACCTGCTACTTATGGTTGAACTGCAAACATCTGAGCACATGGTTTTACTGAAGAGAACATGAAAGGGATATTTTTTAGAAAACTGTGTATCAGTACCTGAAACTTAACTGTGTGTTTCTTTTGAGTTTGGATAGTTAAAATAAACTGAATACAATGAATGGCACAGGCCTGCCAGAATTTTCTTTTATACAATACCTAAAATTTTTTACTGGTGTTTAAGTCCCCTCTGAAGAGAATTGGTCTGTTTAAAGAGGTAGAACACAGCACATACAACTTCGTGACCTTCCTAGAATATCCATATGAAGTGTTTATCTTTATCTTAGTCTTATCTTATAAGAAACTTAAATGTACCAAAGTAAAGATGGTGTATTGCGTGTTCTCTAAACAATAAGACGGAGTGGGGTTAAATTTTTTTTTTTTAAGTTTTCATTAAGCTAATTAATTTGGGATGAAGAAGCACTTCCTTTTGTTCTCAATATTTAGAGAGATGCAGGTGTGTAAGGCAGAGGTGGCTAACAAATTGCCTATTATGAGGCTACAATTCTTAATAGTTTGTTAGAAATTCCAGTGTCTTGCTTTGCATTACTTTGTCATCTTTCTGTATGACTTTCCTGTAACTTTACATGAAAATTACCACCACTTTCCTTGAGCAGAGTTGAATGCTCTTGTTAAATTTTGAGAAATTCAATGGCAAAATGGAAAATATGCACACAAATAAAAGCATGCAGACATCTATACTTAATCTCCTGTACTGTGATGGAAGTAACAATTAAGCTAATTCAGTTACTCCTTCCCACGCATAAAAGGTATCTTGTTCTGAGAGCAAATTGCCTGAAGATTTTATTTTATGCTCCAAGGGGGTTTTGAAAAGAGTTTGCATGCCTTGTAATTCTTGTTCACAGTTATTGCTGTCAAGTCGATGCCATAAGCAGATCCCAAGGCACATACAGTCTGGAGCTCTGGGAGCAAGGCTTACTCACTCTGTCAGACACAGCTGGAGGTATGAGGTCTGGGTCAGGGTGCAGAGGGAGGAATCCCTGCTTCTCTAAGCAGCTATGTCACAACCAAGCATTTGCAAGAGCAATGAGTAGAGGACCTTTCTGTGGGGCCTTTACAAGCCCTGGACTCACCTTTTTGGCGTGCATCCTTTTGCACCATCGCTGTGGTGAAGATTATGGTAATTCATTTTTTGTAATGCTGTCATTAAAAAAAGATTAATTTGTGGAACTAAATTTTAATTGCTGGGGAAGATCAGCAAAAACTACAGAAAGTGTATCTGACCTTCTAACCCAGAACTGCAGGAGCAAGGTTGTATTTAGAACATGAACACACAGTTTGATGACTGGATAGGTGGGATCAAGCTTCCCTACTTTTTGCATCCATACTTTTGACTAGAATTCTTTTCTTTGCAGAAGAATTGAATAATAAATGGAAAGCATAATGGTATCCAATATTAAAAGGTCTTTATGAGATGCAACTTCAAATCTGTGAAGAAGATCTCGGTAAAGAATACTTGCACATCATCAATGCATTGGATATGCTCTTTGTTTCTCAGGTCTAAGCAAGGTTTTATTACTTTGCTGTAAGGTTTATAACTCAAGGGCTATAAAGAAGTTGATATGGGGATATCATAGTCCCTTTACAATAGCTTTTGGGACATCCCATGTTGCAAGGGTCTCGGCGATCATGCTTTTACAGGAACAATATGATACGGATGAACGATCCTGCCCTAGAGGAGCTTTAGCTCCTGCGTTGGGACTGTTGGGCCCCCGGGGACCTATGGCTCTGGAGTCTGTCAGTCAGCAGCTCACAACAGTGCGAAGATTGGGAGCAGCCTAACCAGGACTGTGACTGTGCTGGACAAGGTGAGACAGGAAGGGAGCAGAGCACTAGCACACTGTGCTGTGTTACAGCAGGAAGGCATATGGAAGGGAACGTGGAAGTCCAGCAGTACACAGAGGCAGGATGTGCTGAGGTAGATGTGACTGAGGGGGAGCTGCTCCATATTGGAATTGAGCTGCCACCTAAAAGTAAGGGAGGTGGAAAGAAGGGAGATAGTCCCCAGACTGAACTCTGCTGGCACGTGGGGATGATAACTGTGACTGGTCTGAGGCAATTTTGTATGGGTGTCTGAGATGAGTGAAAAGCCTGTCCCATGCTTACTTTGTTTAATATATGAAACAGCAATATCTAATACACTGATGCCCCACTTAAACAGCAACATACTACTTATTTCAGTGCCTGTTTTCCATTGCCAACCTCACTCACCAGGCTGAGGGCCACTAAGGCAGAGCCACTGGGTGCCAAGTAGGAAAACAAATACTTCTCTGGCATAAAACTGGGCCTTGCCATCTGAAACAGCCACCAAGCCACACACTAATAAAATCTCAGAATCATCAAATCATCAGGGTTGGCAGAGACCTTTAAGATAATCAGGTCCAACCAATGCATTGGGGCATCAACAAAAGCCACAGGAGTGCAGAGGCACCAAAGAAATAGGAATTTCTATGAAACAAAGATGGCTTTAAAATTAAGATTCAACTAAGAACCAGTTTTAAGGATTTTAAGTTTAGAATGAGGACTTTTTAAAGTACCTCTCCCTTAGGCACCTAGGCAAAACTTTTGGATCTCTCCAAAAGACCTTTTTTATCCAAA